ACGCGCTACACTCTGAGCCATCACAGCACGGTCACAATATTATTCATGTCCATCTTTATAAAGTTAATATTTTGAAATATCTAATTAATAATAATACATATAAACAAATTAACAATTTTAGTTAGTGTCAAAACAACGGTGATATTTTTTAATAGGTCGCTTAATTACGTCTTTGAGATTACAACGACGTTTTCAGAATCATGTTTGGTTAAAAATTAACGCCTGGATGTACAGAGGCTTAAAGTTCATAACTTTGGGAGCCTCCGTTATAAACAAATTGTGTGAAAACTATTGCACCTACAGCAACCACTGTTGACACACTTTTAAAGTATGACAAAACCCTCAACTTGTCATAGGTTTTATAAAATTTGAACAATAAATGCGATAGTTATAAACAAATTAAAAATGTTTTTTTGCAATTACTTTTTTGTTTATTAACCGATTTTAATTTAACGGATCTCATTTTGTAGATAATTTTATTCCCTACGAGCTGTCCGTGAGTCACTTTTTCCTAAAATTGATGGTTTTCCCTGCAAACTGAAAAAACTGTTTTCCTCACTTATTTGTTTAAATAAAAAAGTTAGCTAATAAAATTTTTTGACTCGCGAGATGAGAGATGTCTTGTATTATGTTCCTTTAGACAATTTTACAGTAATCTCGCGGATAGGACTGTTTTCGAGTTTCTCTTTTATTTTCGCTAATTTTCCTGGTGTAATAACAAAATCGCTATATAACGAGCGTTTAAATAAAAACGTGGTCAAGTTGGTTCTGAAAATTTGGACGTAGAGCGTAGCGTATAGCAAATGAACTTAAACGTCATCTCGCCGCTTTGTTATTGAAACTGACAACTGCTATATAGTCCAATTAACTAAGCCTTTAAATCGAAATTTTGTCAACTTGGCTGAATTTTTGATATGAGTTAGTTTAAGGTATATTATAACAATAAGTGAGAGTAATTTTTTGTTCAACCCCCGGCCAAGGGTGAAAAAAGATAAAACAAAGGGGTTTTTTAAGATAACTCAAAAAGGGTAAGTGCCAGAAAAAAAAGTTGTAAAGCATACAATTCTACATAAAAATGGCCTCTTGATTTTTTCTCGTACTATTAAAATTAACAGAGTTAGGGAGGCTAGAAGTTAAGGGAAGATTTCAGAAATTTAAAAAAATCATAACAAGCAGAAAAAATATTACTACTCTAAAAATTTACTCTAAAAAATGTAAAGAGACACGTATTTTTTTATCGACCCCAAAACAGTTTTTTCTAAATATCTGGGGTTCTAATCAATATTTTGGAATGAAACAAAATGGAAATTACTTCTTATAAAAAAAAACATATGTTTCACAGGTGATTCCGAGTTGTTTGGGGGTTGCAAACCTTATTTTTTATCTCGGAAAAAATGTTTTTTTTTGCACTTTTTTTATAAAAAATTTATAATTGCTCAAAAAAAATTAAAAAATATCATTTATGTAAACAATTTGGCAAAATTAAGTTGACCTGTTTTTTATCGGCGGAAAAACATATTTACGCTGTGAAATACAGCCTTACACAGACCTGGTAAAATTTATTCTTGGAAATGTTGCGGAAAACGTTCAGTGTCGATTTTCTAGTCGCATCAAGGGCATCACGGAGATAGGTATAAAATGTAATCAATAACACAATATTATTAAATTTTACTACAATAAATTTCAGGTCACTATTGAAATAAAATAATTATAATTTAAAAACATTAAACAATTAAGTATTTATCATAAAATTAAAAATTGTATTTCACAACCAAATAAACTTAAATTGCCAACTACTAATATTACGTTCATTGTTAAAATAATTTACGACACAAAAAGCAACTAGATATCTTAAAATATTATGTATATAAGCCATATCATGGAAACATTGTAACGGAGGCCGCGTTGGCTTAGTGGTTTGCGCGTTGGCCTACTAATACAGAGGTTCTGGGTTCGATCCCTGGTGCAGGTATGGTTTTTTTTCAATTAAAATTAATTTCAAATGCAACTATTCATCGTCCACATTTTTCGGCTTCAGTTCTGCTTAGGAAGTAAATAATTCCTCACTGCGCGGCGTTGCCAAAACAGCGTTGTCAAATATCTGTTGATAAGGCCGCTAAATTCCTTGTTCTATTTCGTCAGAAATCTTATTCAAATCGTGAAATATAAAATACAGCTGATAAATTGTAATTAATTACTTGGAAATCTTGGAATATATATAAGAATAAACTAATTTTACAATATTTCTTCAATGTATCACTAAATTCTTACAGAGAATATGGTATCATATACCACCAAATATGTAAGTCAGAACTGTTTGCTATTTAAAATTTTGAACAAGAGTACCTACCTATTACAAAATGAAATTGACTGAAAAATACGTTTATGACTGGAACACATTGCAAGAATACTATAATGGTTCTCATTTAACAGATTCCTAGAAACATGACTTGCAATGATCCTTCTTATTGTTAGATGAAGAAGTGATCACACCGAATCATACTACGAATTCGGTGCTTTGCTTTTTTTGTTGTAAAAACACAACAACCTTTCTGTTGCGGTTTTCAAAACCTCGATATTCTTAACATAAATGAACTTACTTTGAAGACTGCCTCTAAGTTTTCAAATATAAATATTTTAAAAGATCTTTTCTGAGTACTTTTTTATTATTTTTTCAGTTAATAAAACTTTAATAAAAATTCCCCTACATTTTCCCAAAATGTGTTCCTACTCTAAAATAAACGAAAACCACCAAATCTCACGCTGACATACTTAAAACCATGCTTACGAATAGGTCAACACATATTTCATAGTACCCGATAGTACTATTTTAAAGTTGTGAACAGCAAGGCACTCCACACACGTCACCGCTGAAAATACCGTGTGATTTCATCACTGTCCGCTATGCTAACGAAATCTAACAGAGATTACCGAAATATTTGCTCAATAGCGACGTTTTAATAAATCATTAACATACATTTTCATCACAGCTAACTGCTAAGTGCGTTTCGTAACTTATACGGTACGGCGCGTATTATCGAAAACTATACGCAGTGGCCCAAAAACGTAGACAAAAACTCGTTCTGCGGATTGTAATTAATTGATTAAATGTTAGAATTAGTAAAGGGGTGTGATGGAGACAAAAATTAATCGATACTCAGCGTTGTCTTTCCGACAGTTCTTGCTGGGCAATAATATTTATATTTTAATAAAAAACTATATGATTGTATTCAACTAATTTTTTGTCTTATATCTGTAATTACATTTTGCCGCATAAGCAACTGATTAAAAAAGTAAATCTATACGTTCTTTTTGATTCATGAACAAAATAATTTTAAAAAACAGCTTAAAAACCTATTTACATAACGTGATTATCACAACCCACTTGCTCGCCTCGCCTTCTTGATAATTGAGATACTAAATCAAGTTGCCATGCCATAACTGCCTCTATTTAAAAAGCTTTAAGATCTCTGGAAGGTCCACGTGAACTTTCACTTTGCTTTTGAGGACATGTAAACAATACAATAGCTTATTATGTGACTGTCAGAGGTATTTTTATATATTTTATTTGTATACAGCTTGTATGTATGTGGGCAGTCTCCTTTTACGGTTTATATTAATAGTTATACAGGGTGTCTCACGGTGACGGCCCATTATTGCCTGCAGCTGAAATAGCAAAAGCGGTGACTGATGGTGTTATCTCTAGAATCCACAAGTGCTTAGCTGTTAATGGGGGTCATATTGAACACTTATGACTTTTTTTTATCTTAGTGTAATATTATTATCAACATACATAATTAAAGTTGTGTATTACTATGTATGAAGTTGATTTTTTAGAATTCTTCTTAATTTTATTCTGCTAACTAAAAACTGTAAATGTGCTGCTTAGAATCCCATTGCAACGTCTGTGAATAAATAATAATAAATAACTGGTGACAGTTTGGTTGTTTGTTTTGAAGTTTTGATAAAAATTCCACAGCTATCCTCGCACGAAATTACATGATTTTAGGTGATTACACAAAAAACTGTTCAAAAGAGAATAAAATTGTGTCTCAGAACACAGAAAGACATTAAAAAAACGAATTATGAAGGTTTGAAGTTAATTAAACTCGGCATTAAATTTCTAGCACCCTGTATGCAGTTAAGCCACTTTGAAAGTATGGATGGGAAACTTAGGGGTCTAGCTATCCCCCTATAAATATTGTTGCTTCGTTTTTCTTACTACAAAATACACATGGTTTGAAGCGAGTCACTGTTTCTCTCCATTTTTTTGAAAAAAATTAAATATCTCGAAAACGGTTAATTTTAGGAATATGGAAACTTCATAAAAGTCCACATAAAATAACACGTAGAATCCAAAATTGCAATAATATATAGGGTGTTCCATTTAAAATAAACAAGTTGATTGCGACTTCCGGTATAACCGAAAGCGGTACGTGTAGGCCATTATTTTAGGTGAGAAGTGCATGCCCTAAAACCCGGTATCCCAAATTTTCAAAATTCAAATCGAAGTAGGTAGTCTGAAATAATTGTAATATGCCGTCACCATGAGACACCCTGTATTTTCAATGACATTCACTACATTGTAGTCAAACCACTTCCGCGATTCACAACAAAAATTCTTATACCTTAAATTATTATTTTTCATAAATAAAAAACTCGACCCTGCCAGGATTCGAACCTGGAATCTTCTGATCCGTAGTCAGACGCGTTATCCGTTGCGCCACAGGGCCACGTCAACAACTTTTGCTTGCAGAGCACAAAAGTCAGTACTTTCCCACATTTTATTAGTATTTTAACTAAATTCATATTATGATAGCGAAATATATTGCATGTAAGTATTTAAACATATATTTTCTTACAATTAGAAACATCAAGAAACCAACCACACGGCGCTTCAGCTTCTAAACTTGCAAAAGCCACTATAAAATCACCAGTTCAAGCGCAAAGCGATAGATGGCGCGACGCGACGTAAATAAAAACACTTCCAGATGACTGGAATCAGCTGTGCAGTTTTAATTCGAATTCAGGTCTGCACCTTGCCGGTACTCGTCGAAGTTAAACCGGAAAAATAATCGATATAAGACGTGTGATCAATATACCTACTTGCACTTTATTAGGTCAGTGGTGATAGGTGTGCCCGCATAAAATGAACGGCCCTCATCTGTCCAAAGGTAAGTAAATTAATAAAATATATATTGTCGTTTCACGCCCACGTCCACGGATTTTTCTTTGGTGTGCACATCGAAATTTTTGCAGCGTTCTTAAAATAGCAGTGTCAATAAACGTGACGTCATTGCAAACATTGCATTCAACGCGTGCATTTGCGGCAATAAAAATCAGTGCAGTCGTGTATTTGCATTTTAAAAGGTTAATGTTAGTCGTACATGTCTTTGATGGGGGTGAATGTTTCCCGATGGTAGTCCCCGACAAACTAGGTCGATCTTATTGCCAGTATCAATATATTTTACAAAACAGTTTGTAACCGACACCGACACTCGTTTTGAGGGGTTAGTTTATCGATTTTTTTTTCATACATATGTATGCGACCACTCATTATCTTTCAGTATATGTTTGTTAAAAAAATATGTTACACAAGTAACACACGGTCGGTGTAAGCTGTACAAACATCGAATCCTTCCTATGAGTTTAACCGTGTCATATTTATTTCTGTGGGATTACCTCATATTTCAAGTTTATAATAGCAGGAGAAAACCTCATGAATATTAATTCTATGCCTATGACCCTATTTCTGTGCTATTTATACGTGGTGGGTAATAGAACACGGTTTGAATTTCGAGGACAGGAAATTATAATAAATTTAATTGACACTACAACTTTTATAAGTCGCGTTCATTTTTCTAGACACTAAATTTAATAATACGGAATTATCTCAGGATAAAAAAAATAGTTATTAAAAATTATATATGACTTTTTAACTGGAAATCTTCAAGAAATTCGTGTTTTTTTAAGTATTAAATGTTTAGGCTAACAAATTTGTTATTTAAATCGTATTCTAAGAATGAAACGCCTCAATCATTATTATATACTTTTTTTTAAGGTGCAAGGCAGCCCCCGCCACCAAGAGGGGGCAAACTTCGCCTCTACAGCAATAGGTTTTGCCCCTATGCTCAACGTGTTCATTTAGTGTTAGATGCCAAGAAAATTCCGTAAGTACTTTATGACATTCTACAACAATGTTAGTACGGCCGAAATAGCTCAGTTGGGAGAGCGTTAGACTGAAGATCTAAAGGTCCCTGGTTCGATCCCGGGTTTCGGCACAACTTTTTTTTTCATTTATTTTTTACATTTCGGTCATGTTTATTTTATAACTGGGTAATATAACAGTTTATTTTTAGAATTTAGACCGATATCTTACCCGATAATCAAGACATAAATATTTTTAAAGGATGTTTACCCACTGCGGAGTTAATTTCGATTATACTAAATTTAAATTTGGGCGTGTTTATTTATCAAGTCAAGAGAGATAAAATTATGTACGTACTTTATTTTGTTCGATTTTGTTACACTTGTAAATCGTTTCTGTTTTATTTGAGCTAATATTTATGATTGTAATTCATATCATGTTATTAAATTTTAGATTATTACTTTAATATCGTTCGAAACTAAAATCACGTTAAACGTTTTTCATTTTTGTCATATTTCGTGTATAAAAAGCCTCCCGTAAATAACCAATGGGATAACAGTGGTTATTATTAAACATTTTTGTATTGTGTCACTGACCAGGAACTAGTTTTTTTTCCAAAATTGTATGTACTGTGCCAAGTAAAATACATGGACCAATAAACTGAAGCAGCAACCTACGATCGTCATGCTTGACAGTGCATGATTATATAATTTTGAAGATGAAGGAGAATTTGCTGTCTGTGAAAAATTAACGATTATTAAACGTTTGAAAAGAAGTTATTGTAAAAATTATTTTATTTTGTTCATAGAACTTATCAATATTTTCTTGTTTTATAAAATGCTGTTGAATTAATAAACTGTATTATTTCGAATTACGTTTAGTCCAGTAGGCAGGGGACGTTTATATATTTTTCATTGTTTCTCGAAATTTTCATAGGCTTCTAAGAACAGTATCGAACAATCTCTAAGCTTCTAACATGACAGAAAAAAACGGAACTTATTCTACATCATACAACAAAAAGTAAACAAATGTACACACAAAGCATACTATATAGGGCGACTTTCGCTACAATAATAGTGTTTTGTTCTATGACATATTCGTGGCCGGTTTTTGAAAAAAATTGGAGGAATTCGGAAAATGACAATTACCATTTTTTTGCACCTACTTTGACGGAACTAATAAAACATACAAAGTATAGTATGATTGACCATTTGAGGTGGTGATGCCACAACCTTATTTTAATTGGCCTTGGTTTGGAATTACGTACACTGTTTATTTAAGAGATGCATTTATCAGGTTACACAATATTTTTTATGTACTAATTATAATAATTATGCATCATAGCACACTTTGAAGGGTTTATCTTAAATGATATTGATTCAATTTTTAAGAAAAGTAGAATGGGAAAACGGATACCTATCTTAATTAATTCAAGAGATACAGGGCCTTTTTCTATGATACCCTCCCACATTTTTTTTGTGAAAATATGATTTTTAGTATATGCAACCCAAGAAGTAATTATAGATGTATCGTTTACAGGTATGATGTAGTCAATATAAATTTATCTAGCAAACCAGACTGGATTTACGATAAAAGCCCATATGGAAAAATCCCCGCTTTGGAGTTAGATACAGGGGACGTCCTCTACGAAAGTTTAATAATAGCCGATTACCTGGACGAAAGGTACCATCAGCACCTTTTGCATGCCAAGGATCCTTTGCAAAAAGCCAAAGACAAGTTGCTTATCGAGCAATTCAATAGGGTATACATTTTTTTTTTTACAAGGAAATAGCAATATTTTAAATCTAGAGCGTGCCATTTCGGAAATAAAACACATACTTTTGTTCTTGCAGATCATAAACACCATGTACAGGGTGATGATGAATATCGGCAGAATTAGTTTAGATGACGATGAGACTATCTCCAATGGACTTAACACTTTTGAAAGAGAATTAGCCGAGAGAGGTGGACCGTTCTTTGCAGGCAACAAGCCGGGAATGTTGGATTATATGATATGGCCTTGGTGTGAGAGAGCCGATATTCTCAAACTTTTCGGTAACCAGCATCTACTGAAGAGAGATAAATATAAGAAATTGGTAAAAAGTTTGTTCTGTGAGAAAAATCTCTGTAACGATATTTTCTTTTTTATTCCGTTACAGATGGAGTGGAGAAATCGCATGTCGGACGACCCCACAGTTAAAAGGAGTCTACTAGATTCTGACTTTCATGTTAAATATTTACAGTCCCACAGAGCTGGAATGCCCGACTATGACCTAATATTAAATTCCAAATAAATATTGATTTGTACCGCTCGAATATTATATATGCAAATTTTTCTGGTAAAATTAGTTGGATAAGTTGCACTGCTTCAATTGTGTTTGAATTAGATAAGTACAAATGTTATCTATCCTATTTTATAATTCTTATACCTATGTTTTTATATGGAGCTTATACTTTTTTAAAGCCACTATTTATTAAATGTAATATTACTGTTTGTTCATTAGATTAAGTTTTGTGAAGGTGGTAGATGTATGATTATTTGTTAATGTATATGTAAAGATATATACCTACTTATACAATAAATCTATTTACAGTAAAATTTTTAACTATTCATACTGCATTATTATAATTTAAACTAAATACGTTAGTCAGCGCCATCTCGCGTGATTTATTTCACTGTGATTACTGTTACTGAAAACTTATGAGCCTGGGTGTTCTAATTATCTTAAAGAAGTAGAAGAAATATATGATATTGTCAACTGTCAAATTACACCTAACCTCACTTTATATGCAGATGAATATTTTATTTTTTAATGTGAAAATAAATAAAGTGGATAAATAAACACACCTGACAGTACCTGGGAATGATTAATATTTATTATTAACTTGTATCGACGCCAAACATGGCGTGTTCTTTATGGAAACTGTGTACTTTCAAATTAAATACATCAGTAGGTCCCTCTCTATGTGGAGCGATCAGAAAAGGGCACCACTTGAGGGGATTGCCGCCAGGAATAGCAAAATCCTTGGAGCAAAAACTTGAAGGCAGGTGTGTTAGTTTTGAAAAAACATTCTTTTAACTACTTTCTGTTTTACAGAACAGCGCTACAAGGACCCTTCTGTTCATTTCCGTGTTGATATAAGTTTGCCACCTCCACAATACTCCAGGTCTAAGCAATTACAGGAGAGGTTAAAAGTTATGAAAATTCATCGGAAGGACCCCGAATTGGAAAAATTATCGAGAAACAAAAAATGTAAGTAACCGAAGACTACTGTGAATTAAATTAAACGCCTTGTTTTCAGTACTGATAGACTTGGATGAAGTAAAACAAGAGTGGAACAAAACGGCTGGACCATATCATATTAAGCAAATAGCCGATCATTACGGAATTTTCGAACATTTATTTGGAGATGCTTATTTTTACCCTCGCGTTCCTCTGAATATCGCTTACGATGTGGAGGGTGGTAAGCTGCCGGTTTATTTTGGAAATACAGTGAAACCGTCGGAAGCAAAATCTAAACCAGAAGTTATTTTCGACAGTGACGATAATACATTATGGACGCTCGTTCTAACCAATCCAGATGGACATTTCACGGACCCAGAAAGCGAATATGTCCATTGGTTCGTGTAAGTAAAATATTTATTCTGTAATACACGAGGCTTGTAATTTTATATTTAATATCTTTTAGTGGAAATATCCCGGGGAACAAAGTTGAGGAAGGTGAAACTATAATGGAATACTTGCAACCCTTCCCGCCAAAGGGAATCGGGTATCAAAGACTTGTATTTGTACTGTACAAACAAACGAAACGGCTCGATTATTCCAATTTTAAAACGGATGGTCCGTGGTACGTAACGATTAACGTATTTAATATTAAAATAAAATAATTAATTTTTTCAGTTTCGTTTTATCAGAGAGGACGTTTTCCACATACAATTTTTACAGAAACCTTCAAGACGATTTGACGCCTGCAGGTCTAGCGTTCTTCCAATCAGTTTGGGATTCATCTTTGAAGAACTTCTATCATAACGTTTTAAGTAAGTAAACGTGTAAAAAACATAAAATAAATCAAAAGGTTTAGTATTTGACACTAAATTTATTTCGTTTCGACAGATATGAAGGAGCCGATATTTGAGTACGACTTCCCGCCCCCGTATATTAGAAAACAGGAATGGTTCCCCATCCGTAAGCCTTTCAATCTTTACATGGACAAGTATCGAGACCCGAAACAAATCAACAAGGAATTTCTGTTGAGGAAGTTAAAAGACGTTCACCCGTTCAAACCGAGACCTGCGCCTTTACCGTATCCGAACGCTCAATACTTTGAGGGATACGTGCCTAGCTGGCTGAAGCTGGAAATTACCAAGTCCAGGCTGAAATGGGGGAGGATAAACGATATCGAATAAGCAGTTGCTACTAATATTAAACTTTAAACCTGTATTATTTTTACTGGAAAAACACAAAATTTCCTTCAATTAAAAAGTCACGACCAATTGAAAAGTTGATTTTCTTGTTGTAACGACGAATGTTCACTTCAATTAAACTCGTATCGTTTCTGGACAATTTGTTTTATTAAGATGTACTGTTGTGTTACTGAAAAATTGGCTTGATTAATTGAATAATCGAGCCCCACGTTGGGCGCCATGTCGTGTTACCGAAAGATCGAGTTTATCCAATCAGCAAGATATTTTGAGCTGTTCGGAACTAAAAAATTGGGCATTGGCTTATTGAGCCACTGGGCCCCACGTTGGGCGCCATGTCGCGGAATAACTAATTTTTCACGGAAATTTCCAATTTTCGTGCCGCGCTGGGGCTACGGTCCATTTGGCATTAGGCTTTTTCTGCGGTTTCATTGCTCCGAATAGAAAGTGTGGTGAATTTTCGAAGTGCAGCTTTGTATAGTGGGTTGTATAAGATTGAAGCTAAATATGTAAATATTATGGTGTAATTATAATTACACGTACATTATGCGAGTCCATTACAAACAGACATCTTATAATACAGGTTTGAAGTATCCTGTGTTTGAAAAGCAAATTAATATATGTGGATCCCATTTGCCTCACAGTTTGAGATCAAAATTAAATAATTCAAGTTTGAAGGAGAGTTAATGGATGTTTGCATTAAGCAAAAATAATGTGAAAGTATTGAGACGGTTCACAATAGTCGGATTTTGTATTCTTCCATAACAGGTAAGCTGTTTACTACATATACATATAAATTTTTAAAAAATAGTGCAATTTCGAATATACACGGTTGGAAAAGAAAATCTCAAGGCCACTTTTTGATTTAAAAGTATATCCTCACTTTGAATTGTCAATAAAATTTTAAGTTATACTTTTTTTATAACCAAAGAACTTTCACCATCAGTATGTTTACATATTATCTACATATTAAAATAACGTTATAATTCGTAGATCGTTAAGGCTAAGTCATTAGCTAAAATTATTCCGTTTTAGAAGCCAACAAATTAATAACACTACTTGATAAGCTTTTTTTCGAAACTCCACCGTTACAGAGATACACAGCATTGAAGTTTTTAAAAAATATATGCCTGTAAATAATGTCTTTCGAACGACTCAAATTTAGTATGCACAATACCTACAGGGAATGAAATGACATTCAAAGTGACAAAATTGAATCTCAGCTCAAACACGCCGTGTATATGACACATTTTCTTAAAAAAATTGTGGCACGTCTTTGGAAAATTTACATTTTCTGTAACTCGAAAACGGTGGAGTTCCGAGATGCTATAGCAGTGCCATTATTTTTACTTCTTCTATGGACACCCGAATTTTCGTGGGTAAAAATTTCGGACACCCTATATATACATTTTTTTAAATCGCAGAAATCTTTTAGTAAAATAAGCATGTTTTTTAAATTCGTATTCAACTTTTTACTGCAATCAAATTATTAGAGGCAGCTTCTCGCTTTGTATATTTTGACATAACAGCGAAATAATTGCTGTGTTTACACAAATGACCCCCTGATGAGAATCATAAACACATAATAATTTTCTAGTTGCCGATGGTACACCCATGCAAATAATAGTACTGAATCCTGTTTATAATAGATTAGTTTCACCTTGATAATATAAATAAATGGCAAACGTTTATATAATCAAACTGAAATACGGTTCAAAGGTGACTAACGCTTCTTTTTTTCAAGTCTATTATGTAAAAACGATAAAAAATTGGCACCGCACGTCGTGTCTACATTTACTTTTTTTTCAGGCTTTTTTAAAATGTTTCAGATATTTTTTGAGGCAGTTACTAAAATAAAATAATTTCCCTAATGTTTCCTTCTTTGTCCGAATCGAAAAACATACTTATTTTATCTGAGTTTTTTCCTTATACCTTGTCTCCTAATATATAACTGAATTTTGCACAATATACTGGAAGTTAAAAATTTTTAAATTTATTACCAATGTTACAAAATAGCAATAATTATTGATGTAAAAAAGGCAAAATAATCAAGTTTTTTTTAATAATTTTAAAAAAAAATATTTTAATTGCTCCGAGGGCATTCTAATTTTGGTAAAAAAACTTCAGAGTATAATAAAACAACACACCAAATTTCATTAAAATCGGTTCGATAGTTTTCGCAAAATAATTTTTTGAAAAAAATTTAGTGTTGCACAGCCTCAAATAAAGCATCTAGACAGTTGAAAATTTTTCACATAAAAAAGACCGCTCAAACTCTAATCAACAGATTTCAATTTTTCCAAAACCATTTGAATGGTTGAGCGGTCTTTTCTATGTGGAAAAATTTTCAAGTATCTAGATGCTTTATTTGAGGCTGTGCAACATTGTGAAAATTCGAAAAAATTGTTCAAAATTTTTTTCAAAAAAATTATTTTGTGAAAACTATCAAACCGATTTTAATGAAATTTGTTGTTGTTTTATTATATTCCAGTGTTTTTTCGCCAAAAATAGAATGCCATCGGAGCAATTAAAATATTTTAAAAGAATTATCCAAAAAACTTGATTATTTTGCCTTTTGTTCATCAATTATTGCTATTTTGCAACATCGGTAATAAATTGAAACATTTTTAAAGTACAGCATATTGTGCAAAATTCAATTCTAAAACTTTTTTTCCTTTTCAATATTCTTCCAAAATGCATATATGTATAAGTAAAAAACATTAAAATCACTAAACTTAGAATTCGAACCCCAGGGCCAGCGGTAGGTTTGAAGTAACAAGGCAGATGTGATGCACGAAAATTTTTAGGTATTATACAGGGTGTTACAAAAAATTTGATCTTTGCCGTTAACCACAGACTGCTTATGCTATTTTTTAGGGGCCTCGTTTTCAAGATACAGGGTGTCAGAATTGTTATTAAAAAAAAGGTTTCTATTAATAATAAGTCGGTTATTTTTAAATTTTTTTAAACTGAAACATTGTATGGACTTTTATCCTATTTCAGTGTACTTTTTTGTAAGTTTGATATAAGAAATAATCGTAACAAGAACAAAGGAAAGAAATAGGTAGTTGTAGTATTGATTATTGAATCGATTTTTATAAAAATAAATGTATAATCTTTGTAATTTTTAACATTTATCGCCTCGAAAAACTTTTAATTACGCCGCTGTATACGTTTGGCACATAAACAAACGGTAATTTAAGCGTGATTTCCTGATTAAAAAAACATAATGTGGCCTACGGCAACTGCCTCTGTCCTGACCTTTAACCCAGTAAAACTATGCAGAAGGTAAGATATAACCAGTTATTGTTTTGTCTTGTGTCTTGTGTGTTAATTTACAAAATGTACCTGTGCGCAACTATCACTTATTTACTTTGCTTCAAGTATATTACTACGTTATTATATTAGAAACAAAAATCTATTCTAATAATAGGACTGTCGGAAGCACATCTCTATCGTAGGTATAAAATAATATAGTTACGAGTTATTTAATATACAAAATCGTTGGACTCTCTTGAAGCAAACAGTCGGATTCCGATTAGAAAAATTCAATAACATGGTTAAAAACCTTTTCTTTTTAATTCACTTAAATTATGTGTATGAAGATTTTCAAATATATTTTTGTCGAAAGGACTTAAAATATCTTACTATCTTTACTGTGAGAAAGGCATACCATTAAAATACATTATTCGGGAAGAAAATGAATCCTAGTTACAGTGGTGCATATGAACTACTACAACTTCACTTCACTGACATTACGATTGACTTAACCTCAAAAATTACTTTGTTGACATACAAATACAAACCTTTTTTACACAAAAAATATAAAGCTTATTGGTAAGTGTGCCCATCTTTTTTTCTAATACCGATAAATAAGAGTTTGAAAGATGAGACTGATGGTGTCAAAAATATCTTTCTTGGTACATTAAAAAAGCAATTTGCAATTTGTACTTACCTTTAACAAAAATATTATTTCACATTTACGGTTAGGATCATTCAGCAGAGAATAGAATATACCTTTTCTGCAATAAAAGGCGCGTTTTGCGAACAAAAAAATATAACCTAGGTCGAAAACCTTCCCGTACCAAATTTAGTTAAAATATCCAAGAGTAATCGAGTTATCTTTAAAAGAATGAAATACGGAACATTTTTTGATCAAAAACACTCAAATTGACATTTTCTTACAGGTACGCCACTAAAAATGGAGGGAAGAGACGAAACCTCCATCGACATGGAAACGGGTGAAATATTATACCCATCACAATACAACGCGGAAACGGGCGAATACGAGGGCTTCCTCGCCCTCCCGCAAAGGGTAAAATTCCAAATACCACCCCAGATAAAGCCCAACAAGAAAACCCACAGAGGTCCTAAAATGGATGAACAGAATCTCGAACTCATAACAGCCGCGATATTTCTATTACCGACAGCAATACTGTTCAATCCAGTACTGTGGGCGGTCGCTTTGATACTGGAGATCGTTATACACAGCTGGACTCACAAGAAGAACAGTACCCTTCGCAACGACACCGTACATTATTACCGGAGCCCCCTGCACGGCATCGTAAAGGAATTCTGCGCCAAGTGCAAAGACTCCAATGCCAAAGAGAAAATAAGCAAACTGCAAGACAGGCGTAACGACAAGATGAGGAAGTACGGCCTGGAGTCCATAAGGAGGGTAGTCACCTAATACCAACTTACTCGATGCTTACGGGAACCATTATATTTATTCGAAAACTTTTAGTTTCTTTCTGCCTTATCGTTGAAGATAAGGCGATATAATTTAGCGTTACTATTTTTTTTACTGTCGTCACGTTTGTAGAAGGGTTGCGGTTAAATTACTGAACACACTATTTTAATAAAATATATAATAATACTTTCAAAGTGTTTACATTTATTGTCACGGAAAAAATGTGTTTTGCCGTCACGCGTTACAAAATTTTTACCTGTTACGCCCAGATTTTCAAACGCACTTATCTTATGGGGGCTTCGTACATTTACAGTATAAAATTTACAAAATCGTAAACTATGCAATTCTCGAAGCATCACTGCAACGATGCTAGTTACAGTGGTGCAAATGAACTACTGCAACTTCACTTTATTCTCGAATACCTATAGATTCTTATTACATAAATTAATTTACTTGCTGGAAGATAATAGTTAAACGAGTAAAAAAACTGCCCAGTACAGGCTAAAAATGCACGACTAACGGCTGGGATCAGTGGTGGGGAAAGAGATGTAAAGGCAAGGTAAAAAATTTTTTTTGTAACACTAAAATCCATTCACAAAATTTAAAAAAAAATCAAATTTATATGCTGAAAACTGTTTTGTTTGGCTAAAAAATTAAGACTACTTACATATAAAACCTTCTCAAGTGTTTAAAAATTAATAAAATCGAATTTTGCAAAATGTAATAATTCCAAAGTTCCCGGTAAGTATAACGTACAACTGTTAATAACTCGGCAACGACTCGTCTGTCCAATAGTGGGTTTCGTGAGCTTATTATACATGAATTGAAAAGTATTTTCCAAAAGTTTCATGGGATTTAATTAATATTTAGAAAACTGGAAACAATTTTAAGAAAAATATCGATTTTTGCCATTTTTTACCGTCCCTGTAACGATCCTAGTTACAGAGGTGCAAATGAACTACTGCAACTTCCCTTTCACTGATTTTGCGCTTAAAAATTATTTTGTTCACCTATAATCGTTTTTTTTTGCATAAAATGGGATGACACATCAAATTTTTGCCTTCTCGCTAATAGTTTGTTTGTTTTAAGACGTTTTGACCTGATTTAAAATTTCATGGGGTTTAATTAATTTTTAGAAAATTGGTAACAATATTAAGAAAAATATCGATTTTCGCCATTTTTTGTAATAGCAAAAATTTTAAAATAAAATTTTTTGTACACTACGCGACGCTCATGCATTTTAAAGTGTTGTCCTACAACGTCATCGCTGCCGATTTGTAAAAAAATGTTGACGCATATTTAAAGTAATGATGAAACCAATACACTCAATTATGAATTTTTAAATCTTCGTTGCACAATTAAATTTACCGACATCATTATTCAGTGAAAAGGGTAAAAAAGTATAACACCGATTTCATCGAAACATTATTTATTAAAACTTAACCTACGCATAAAAATATATCAATTGAATAAAAATAAAAAACGATTAATACCACAGCTAAAAAATTAATTAAAATCACATTACCTCATTTTTATAATCTCCCGGGTGGCGGTCCTCACCACCGTATGGAAATCCACGTCGAGGTGGCTCCTCCAAAACTTGCACCTCCCCCAGATAACGGCGGGGTAATTGGGGCTCTGTATCCCGTGAAATATCCTCGCCACTGCCCGTCCCGTGAAACTGTTATCCCTGTACATGCATATCAACGCTCGTATGTCGCTAACCAGCTGTTCCTCGTTGAACTCCTTAGGCTTCGTGTCGCACGTGTACTGCAACGGATCGGGAGAATTGAAATACTCCCTGACTTTGCTCTTTATCAGGTTATCGCCCGGCTCGGATATGCAGGTGCGATACGACGGCTGTGCCACTTCTACTAAAGTTTCGTGGACGACGTGGAGTTGCATAAGTGCCTTCCTTTCTTGGTCCGCAACCCTGTTGTATAGGCTGTCGAGCGCTTCGTCTAGCTGATCGTCGGATAGATTACCCGGAGATAAAAGTCTAAAGCCCAAGTTCGAAAACTGAACGCTTATCGTGGATCGTTTCGGCTGATTGTTCACTGCAACAAGGATTTTATTGTAGTATTTTTTAAATCTACTATAAATACAAGTAGCTCCTTGTTGGGTATATTTGTAAAAGTTTCGCTATAAAGCAAACAATTTTGGAAAAATATTCTAAAAATGTTTTACAAAAATATGCGTGCGATAACCAAAAACCCATTCAGGAATTGAACTGAACAGCAACTCTGCTAAAGAATGTACAGAACTGGACTGAACTGAATTTCGGGACTTAACTGAACTTCAACTTACTAGAGAATGTCCGGAACTGAACTTAACAAGAATGTTCGGATCTGGACTGAACTGAACTCAATTGAATTCAGGAATAGAACTGAACAGCAACTCTGCTAAAGAATGTACAGAATTGAATTCAGGAACTTAACTGAACTGCAACTTACTAGAGAATGTTCGGAGTTGAACTGAACAAGAATGTACGGATATGGACTGAACTGAATTGAATTCAGGAATTGAACTAAACAGCAACTCTGCTAAAGAATGTACAGAACTGGACTGAATTGAATTCAGGAACTTAACTGAACTGCAACTTACTAGAGAATGTACGGAACTGAACTGCAACTGAACAGCAAGAATGTACGGATCTGGACTGAACTGAATGCTGGAACTGAATTGAATTCAGGAATTGAACTGAACAGCAACTCTGTTAAAGAATGTATAGAACTGGACTGAACTGAATTCAGGAACTTAACTGAACTCCAACTTACTAGAGAATATGCGGAGCTGAACTGAACAAGAATGTACGGATATGGACTGAACTGAATTGAATTCAGGAATTGAACTAAACAGCAACTCTGCTAAAGAATGTACAGAACTGAATTCGGGAACATCATTGAACTGCGACTTACTTACAATGTACGGAACTGAACTGAACTGCAACTGAACAGCAAGAATATACGGATCTGGACTGAACTGAATTCAGGAACTTAACTGAACTGCAACTTACTAGAGAATGTAAGAAACTGAATTGAATTCAGAGATTGAACTGAACAGAAACTCTGCTAAAGAATGTACAGAAGTGGACTGAACTGGTATACGATTTTGTGCAATAAAGGCCTATGTAAAAATAAGGTATTGCGTAGCAAATAAACAAATTTCTAGGAGTCGGTTGGCGATTTTGGTTTTAGACCAATCAGGGTGTGCCTTGCTCACACCCCTGGCCAATAAGATCTCAGAATTTGGGGAGTATAAACATGTATCCCGATACTTTAATAAAAATTTCCAAAATATTACTTTATAGGTGTGCACCACCTTAAACTGCACGCATGCTGTCTCGGTAGCGCCATCTGTTGGAAAAAAGCGAGAACTTAAAATGACGCGAACTCACCCGTAATCCACTCCAAGTTTTTCAGCTTGTGCTTGCATATCCCGCTCTCCCAGCCCATGGCGGCGGCCACGTCCACGACGGGAAACTCCAACACGTTGGGATCCTTGCCGGCTTCGCTCTTGTGCAAAGCCAACGCCATGGCCAGCGGTGGACAATCTTTGGCCGCATTCCTGATACGCAACGGGCCGCCGTAGGATATAACTTTACACGTCGTGTATGCGGGACTCAGCACCTCTACGTATTTGTTCTCGTGCAGTTCCAAGTAACACAAGAGGGTGGCGATGTTCTCCTCGGGTATGTCTAACGCCCTGACGGTTTCCTCGACGGGGAAGGCCACCTCGTGTTTGGGACACCGTCCCGTGCAAGAGCAGGGGACAAAGATCTTCTGAAGGAATTTTCTTATGACATGGCGATCGATGGAGTTGGCGTGGATGTGTCTGCGGAGCTCGTTCCCGTCTCGACCCTAAAAAATGAGTGTTTCATGCAAATCGATAATTAAAAATACGTAAATACGTAAATATTGTGGTAATAATTACCTGCGAATCCAAGAAAACGTGGCACTGCGCCTTCAAACCGTCTCGCCCAGCTCTTCCGACCTCTTGCACGTAACTCTCGAAACTATTAGGCATATTAAAATGTATCACGGCTCTGATATCGGACTTGTTGATGCCCATACCGAAAGCTACGGTGGCGACAACTATCCTAAGTTCCCCCGACATAAACCTATTCTGAATCGTACGCCTACGACTTGCCGACAAGCCGGCGTGATACGGTTCCGCCTCCATGTTAACCCTCTTCCGTTTCTTGGTAGTATTCTCTTCCACAACCCGTTCATTTTTAAGACTAGTTCTAAGAAACGCCGCTATCCTCTCACACTCGTCCCGTCTCGTACAGTAAACGATGATGCTCTTGCAGTCGGCGAAACGTTCGGACGTCAACAATCCTAAAAGAGCACGATCCCGCGTCGCGTCCCTCGAGACGGTCAGTACGAGATTGTCGGGTAGGGGGAGATCCGTTATAACGCCGTCGTGCCCGTCCGGTATTTGTAAATGATCAATGATGCTATCTCTGGTGGCCCTGGTCGCAGTAGCCGTCAGGCCCAGGATGGTTTTGACGCCTAAGCTTTCCCTCAGTACCCGGCAGATCATCAGGTAGCTAGGCCGGAAGTTGTGCGACCACTGGGATACGCAGTGAGCTTCGTCGATGCAAGCGAATGCTATCGGCGGTAGTTTGCGCAGAAGCGATCCGAATCCTACGACAAAAATTCAATTTTAGAAACATACTTTAGAAAATGAGCTAATTGAAACATTTTTTTTTTAATCTTATCAAAGTCAAACAAGGTAATGTTTGAAGGTTATAAAATCGGTGCTAGACATATTAAATTAATCTAAACCATACAAAACGGCAACAAAATTAAACCGTGAACAGTTTAAATTTAAGCAGAATCCGATCGTGTTCCGAAGGCTCACAAAGGGCATCGGAGGTTTTGCAGCTTCTGAAAAACCTGCTACCTAAGTTCACGCCTGATGATATGAAGCTTGTATACGAATCAAGGACGACTTTTTGTCAGGAGAAAATGATGCTGCAACAACAGACAAGAACATATCAGATGGATTAGGCCAAACGACAAGTACCGAAAGAAAAAAAAGCTAATAATAAGTGAGATAATATTAAATAAATTTGTTTAAAATATCCAAATTATATTTGACCGTGATAAACAAATGTCGTGTGTGCTCACCTGCCTGTTTTTCCCCAGCTACCACAGCCTCCGGAGAAACCAGGAGCACGCTCAACTCCCCGAGGGAGATCGCTTCCAAAATCTTCTGCCTCTGAGCCTTCGTCTGATTGGAATGGAGGCATGCCGCTTTCATGAATTTCGGCATACCAACGACTTGGTCGTCCATCAGCGACACTAAAGGAGACACGATTAAAGATATGCAGGGTTCCCGTTGTGAGTACATGTAAGCGGGCAGCTGGTAACACAAACTTTTGCCCGAACCCGTACTGAGAGTGACCAGGGTGGATCTTCCGGAGAGGATCCTCATGACGGCCTGTTCTTGGCCGGGACGGAAGGAGTCGTGGCCGAATTTTTTTAGGGTTTGGTAGACCTCTGCCGGTGTCGCTGAAATAATCGAAATATTATGTTAATTGTTTACTTGAAATGTTTTTGTTTGATTACCTATCATACCGCCTCCTTCCTCCGAATCATAATAGGGCCTTATGACTTTTACAGAGTCCATATACAATTTCACATCCAACTTTTTTATGTGTTCTTCCAATCTTAAGGTTTCAGCAAGCAACTGATCCGACAAGTCATCCCCAAAGTCAAATTCCTCTCCGTCATCTTGAACTTGGCCCGTTTCTTTAACCGCTTCATCCTCCCGATCCGTATCCGTGTTTTCCTTTCCCGGCATAACCATTTTCGGTATTCTAACGCTCAGAATGTTATTCATAGCCATTTCGGAGGCCTCCTCCAAAGTCGGATAGGGACATTCCTCTTCTTCATCGGGAGCCAACGGTAATAAGCCGTCGCCCTTCTTAGCTTGACAGTTCCTAGCGAAATGGCCGATCTGACCGCAACTAAAGCACGTAAGCATCCCTCCGTCGCAGCCACCCATGTCCATGTCCGGTCCCGCCAGAGCTTTCGCCTTCTTACTCTTCCACATGGACTTCTTATACTTGCTGAACGTTCTGCCGCTCTTGCCGCGAACGAAAACTTTCTTCTTCAGGTTGATGCGAACGAAATTGTCGTTTATGTTACCGGAAGCCATCTTCTTTTCCAGATTTTCTTTGGCTTGCTCGCTTTTATCTTTTACTGCGCGTAAATCTTTGTCCGCCACAGTTTTCTCTTCGGTTCGAGACTTATCGGTCTTAGTGGCAATTTTTTTCTCTGCTAAGACTTTTTTTATGTTGTTGTACCTCGGTGCTACCGTTCGCGGTTTGATTGAGAATTCAAGCTCGTACGGTTTGCCTTCGTTGGGCTCATTGTCTTCACTTTCCACTTTACTGAATTTTCTAACATTCTTAGGTTTTTTGCCCTTTGAAGTTCCCAGTAACTTTGTTTTCTTAGTTGTTGCTTTGACAGGAACATCTTCAAGAAATTCTTGTTGACCAAAAGTAGTTTTAGACTTGGAATTTTCAGATTGTAACGTAAATTCAGGGTCTTTTTCGTCAGTGTCGGTGTGAAACGCATCCTGTTCCTCCTCCTCTTCCTCAATCTCACAATAAAATTCCTCCATACTAACCTTGACCTTCGTTTTCCTTGTAGATCTCCTTGGAGAAATCTCCTCTTGACTGCCTTGACTCGTAAGAATAGTTTTTTTAGCTCTTCTCCTTGCTTGTGGTCCTTTGTTAAACTTAATTTTTACACTTTTCTTTCGTGAAGTTTTAACGTCAAGTTTTTCACTTTCCTCTGTTTTTTTCTCATTCCCAACATTTTCATCGTTTTCAGATTGCTGTATTTCACTTTTTTGCGAATCATTTTCCTCAACTACTCCTTTAAAATTTGTGTTTTCTATAGTTACAGTCTGCTGGGCAATAGGCACTTTATTCTCACTTGATTTATTGATCAAATCTTCTATTCTTCTCTTTTTTCCAATGTGAAAGGAACTTACTTGGGTAGGAGCGTTTTCATCATCGGAATCATCTATAATGTCGTCACTCTCATAGTCCACCTTAGTAGACTCAAAACATGAAACTCCTGTAGGAACCGTTTGGGGTAATACAGATTTAGATAAAATTTGTAGTGGTGGTAAAAGTAAATCCGGATTTTCGATGGTATTTCCGGTTCTTTTCACTACTCTTTCTAGCCACCCACCATCTACAGTCTTCAAGGAGGGCTGATAGTTATTTTGTATTACACTTTGTACAATATTTACAGGTTGTGATAATGTTTTTATAATTGGTGTTACGATTTTAAATTTATCGCTTGAAAATATGTTCCCTTCCTGTGAAATTATTTCTTCGGATTTAAACGTGTAAGAATCAGTTGTAGGGACCGGTTGTGACAAAGAAATTTGGCCGTCTATATTTATGTCGCTTTTCGTTTTTTGAGAAAAAGATAGGGACTTTCTAGGATTGCGTTTTGTGAATTTGGAGCCACAAAACAATTTCTTGCTTATGCTTAAATTCAAATTGGGTTTACTAGTTTCTTCAGGCTTCGTATTGGCTTTACTATGTTCTTGCTTACTATTAAGATGTGGCCCCCAAACTTCATCAGGTACTGAAACATGTTCATCCAAAATCTCTGGATTTTCAATTTCATTTTGATTTACTTCGTTTAGGACTCCTGGCAACGTACGGTTTTCTTCTGTGTTAGTATTTTCTTCCTCAAATCCTTCAACATCCATAAAACTCTGCTCCAAGGCTGCAGTTTTAAGTTGAAAGTATTTTCGGTAGGCATGCCTTACTTCACTACTCGCTTCTCTAATATCCAGCTAAAACATAATTTAAAAAGTACATTTATGTGATCAAATAAGTTAATAACAATGAATTAAGAAATGAACTTTTTTTACACTGCGGTTACAATTAATTGTTATATTAAACTTCCTTACCTTTGAAGGTAATCTTTTATGTTGTTTCTGAAATTGATGTTCCCATATTTTAACTATATATTTACATTTATCATAAGTTTTTTTAATGTCTGGTTGTTCTAAAAGGTCCATTTCAAATAGACACTCACAAAATTCACAAGTTCAGAACTACATACACAAATCAACAATGCTCTAATAATGGCCATTGGCCATTACAATTTACAAACAATAATAAAAGTTTTCCCGCGTTTCCTTTTATTACCAACATATTTCGATAGGGGGAAGGGGGTGTTCGGAAATTTGATCACTAACAACTGGTTCCGAATTCTACAAGTACTTTTGGATTTAAGAAATATATATGAGTATCTAATTTATAATTTTCAATGCCCATGCAATCAAAACAAACGTAAACATTTATTAACAATCTCTTTTTCCAACAATTTCTAACATAAACAGGTTTACTTTTCGAACAAGACAGTATGTGATCCTACTGATCGAGTTAACATGACCACAGTTTCCAAAAAGCCAAAAGCCCTAAATATAATAGTTTTCCAAGATCACATTACTTTAAGGAACTTGTAAAATTTTTAAATTTTTATTAACCGTCTTTGTCTATGATCTGATATGGAAGCAGAACCAGAAATAGCGGAACATAAAAAACGCACGTTGTACTCCAATCAGGAAAAGGTGGGCGTGGTTCATACATACCGCCAATTTTAAATTGTTTTCATCAGATATGCAATTTTTATTTGTCAGAAAAGCATTGGTCCACAACTCTATACAATAAATGTAATTTGTTTAATCAATTACTTACCTATAGACGAATCATAAATTCAACGTACGCAACGAATGTATCAAATTAGTTTCTTTAAAATTAAGGTTATAATAATTAATAGTTCATTAATTTCTGGTTATTATCGTTCATTACATCCACAGCCATTGTAAAATACTGAAAACTTTGTTGCTGTTATGAATTATTACATTATATAAATTGTATCATGTAGGGATGTATACGCATACGTTGATTTTGTAATTTTACTATACTCATATTATGATTATTTTCAGATAATTAATTATTATTAATCCATAATATAACTCATAAATATGACTAACACAAAATATTAAGAAATTAAAATTTATTGGAAAACTTATTTTTTTTGCTAATGCAAAATTATTTTCACCCTGAATTTTTTTTTAATATTATATACAGTGCTTTCGAAAAGTAACGAATAATAATTCACTATTTTTTAAATTGAGAAATTTTCGAAGAAAATTTGAACATTTAATTTAGTCGATTTTTACATAATCATTATCATTTTAAGTATTGTGAAAATTAAATTTTAAAATCTTCAATCATTATTTTCTACAAATCTTTGTTATGTAACACCATAAATTTTCATGATCTGTGTATGTAGAATGACACGCTCTTTCAAATGGCATGGTCATAATTGGGGCTATTTAAAAAAATTGTCGATGACGTCATATCTCGAACAACGATGACGTCATAAATATGGGTCGTATGTCAAATAGTGCCTTTTTTAAAAACAAAATCGATGTGCCAGGGGATTTTCTCCAAAACTTCTCAATTTAAAAAATAATGAATTTATTCGTTACTTTTCGAAAATACTATATTTTCTATGCACATACTCAATTCAATCTAGGGACTTTAGTTGGTACGTTGGCACTGACTCTAGAATTTCAGAAAGGGAATATTTGTTTTAAAATGTTGGCAGTTTGATATTTGAAAACAAGAAAGGTTATGACATGTAATTTCGTAAAACCTTTTTGGAAGAAATTTATTTAATTTTAATGCATAATGTAATATTAAAATGAATTCCGTAAAAAAACTCATAACCAAAATGGCAAATTCACTGGCTGGTGTGAAATCAGATTTAAGCCGGCCGTTCACGGTAATCGTTGAAGGAAACGTCGGTAGCGGTAAGACAACTTTTCTAAATTATTTCAACAAGTACGATCATGTCGCTGTATGTTCCGAACCCATCGAAATGTGGAGGAACTGCGATGGATACAATTTACTTGTAAGTATGACAAAGGTCTAGAAACCGTATTACAAAAAGAAATTAACATTCTTATAGGACCTTATGTATAAGGATCCCAAGAAGTGGAGTTTCACTTTCCAGTCCTACGTTCAGCTCACGATGCTGAGACAACACACCAGGAAGATTCCTCAACCTATAAAATTGATGGAACGTTCCATATATAGCGCCAGATACTGCTTTGTGGAGAAAATGGCGAGGGACTCCTTGATGGCAGCCCCAGCGGTGGCTGTAATCGATGAATGGTTCAAGTTTATTACTAACGAGGAGCAGATAGACGTCGACTTGATCGTGTACTTGAGAACATCTCCCGAAGTAGTTTACGAACGAATCTTGAAACGTAATAGATCTGAGGAACGAACGATCGCTTTTGATTATTTCAAAGCCCTGCACGAGATACATGAGGACTGGCTTTATCACAAGACATTACATAAGGTTCCTGCACCTGTAATCGTTCTCAATGCCAATCTCGATAGATCTGTTATAGAAGAAGAGTATGATAAGTACGAACCTCAAATTTTGAATAAGTTGCCGTTACAGGCACATGCATTTTAATCTCAGCATACTTAATGACAGGTCTTTTTATATTTTTTGAACATGGAGTCCCGAATAAAGATGTGTAGCATTAATTTTCAACTACTTCATTCCGAACGTGCGACCAATTTTTTAAAAGCAATTACAGTTCAGAAACGGATGTCTTGTGTGAATGAAATTTTGCGAATATCGTTTGAAAATAGAAATTGAAACAGTAAATATAAAAGTATGCTGTACTTGCCAATAATTATTAATTTCTTTTAATATTAGTTTTGGTTTTAAAATCATAGTTTCCACTTCCGTAAGATTTTTAAATTAAATTTACAAACTACGGAAAATTAATGCATTTTTTTTCTATTTATGTAGTCGGTATAGTCTCCTTAGTTTACCTTTACCACAATTTGTTACATCATTTTTGTATTATATTAGAACACAAAATAACAGTAATAGAATATAGTCAAAAAATTAAGCAGATCAATCATTTATGAACGTACTCGAAATATAAACAGTCTCGATTGTATACCCAGTGAACGGTTTGCATTCTTATAACCGTCACTATAATTTAGTATTATTAGTTTGGTGTCTCAAGGACTGTAAATGTACTTATATTTAGTGGTAAATAAAATTTGAATCTATTTACATTTTTGTATTATTTAGTATTTCACTTCCTTTCAATTCTAGCCCTTGAATATTCATGACCATTTAAGTTTCCCGCTTCATTCCATATTCTTTTTCACTTCAGTTCACGTTGATCTAGATCACATCAAGATCTCTCTAAAGGCTGGTTGATTTCATTCTTTAAACTAGGGAGACTAGACGAAGACGAGGAGTACGAACTCGTACGGGAAAATTTGTTGACGTATTAGTTGAAATTACTTATAGTTATTACCTATATGTTTTGTGGTTATTACCGCTAGGGTCGCCAGTGTTCCTTGTTCATCGACATATTTTCATTATTTATTGATTTATTTACCTAATTCAAAGTAGCCTACATTATTTATTTTAAAATTTTTAACACATCACAAAAACTGCACGATTGATTTTTAATTCAAACACGATTGGCGTAATTTTTCACGAGCTTCTATGCAACCAATGAGCGATCGCATTATCTCGAGCGTAGACGTAACAATTTATAATTATTTATTGTAAATGAATCATTAAAATTGGTTGCGCCAAGATCTAGAGATTTATATGGATTTATTATTGTTGATGTACGATTATATTAGGATAAAGAGGGATAATCCCCCTCGATCCCAAATCATTGAGGCCAATTTCTAGCCATGAAATAATGTCGTAATGGCGATTATATATTTTGTGGTACTAGCCGTGCATTGCTGGGTTGCCTAAGCTTGGGGTCACTCGGTTCTCGGTTTGTAAGCAGTGTTGCCAGATTGGGGGTTTTCCCCCCAAATTTGGGTTTTTTTTCTTTACTTGGGGGGATTTTTTTGGATGAATTATTTATTCGGATATCTTTTGGAGTAAAATGTATGGTAAATTAATATTGGTATTGGTTGGTATATCACATAATTCATAATTATGACCAAGAAGTACTTAAATATACCTAAATACAGTAGTTTAGTATCATCGAGCATATACTACTGGAGATAGCATGCCATTGCGAAAAGTGTGGCTGAGTGTGCAAGAGAGACAGACAGTATCTCAGTACATGCTGTCTCACTCTAGCACGCACCCGATTGGTTGGAGCATTCACTTCCAACCAATCACGTGCGTGCTAGAGTGAGACAGTATGTACTGAGATACTGGGTTTTACAGATCGTACATGTTTTGAACTTCATGAAAATATGCTCCAGTATTTTAGTTCGGAGAAAATGTATGAAAGAAAAAATAATGATGTAAATGTTTTAGAAATATTTTCAGAAGCTGCAATTTAAGTATGTAATGCAATACATTACATATATTTCTAGGTAGGTATGATATTTATATTAATTTTAATAAATAAAAATTTATTTCGAAAACTTTGGGGGATTTTATTTGAAAAATGTCAGTTTCTGGCGGAATTTACTCCTGTTGTTGGGGGAATTGTAAAAATCAATCTGGCAACTCTGTTTGTAAGTCGGTTAAGTCGCTCTGTAGTCGCTAAACGTTATTTGAACGTTGGTTTAGGTTTTAGATATAAGTTAGTAAATAGTGCAAGTGAAAGAATTCTTGAAAACATCTACATATAAGGTACCTAATTAAGCTATTCTTATTGAAAATTGTTTAGTAATTTTAATTATTTTGATTTGCGTTTAAAAATTTTGGTGCATGGTGATCACTTTCACACTCGGAATATTGTATATGTAAAAATTACAACAATTTCAGATGTGGTCCAAAGAGGATAATTCTGACCACGAAGAGGATGATGAAATTCCAGAAACTGAAAAAGATTTCAAACCTTCCTTTGTTGTGATAGCAATCGATACACATCCTTTGATGTTCAGGGAGAAAGAAGATGAATCAATTCCGTTTAAAAATTGTTTATTAGCTTGTCATTCTTTGGCAGATTCGTTATTGCTAGCTAAAAATAACTCCTGGAATAATTTTGCGGTGTTACTGGCTAAAGAGGAATCTCCTTCGCTTACGACATTTGATGATAATATGATAGATACAATAAAACTTCTAAAAACGAAAGTTGCACTATCCAATGAACAACTAGCCGAAGAATATAAGAGAAAAGGAGAATTTGATTTAGCTGGATTTTTATTAGCTTGTAAAAAAGTATTTTATGAGGTTAGCGCATTTTATAAACGAACACTCATATATATCACTGATGACGATGAACCGGTCCAAGATGCCACGAAAAAATTTACTGTTTTTAACGAGATAAAAACGTTTAGCGGGAACCAAATTGACTTCCAAATAATTCCGACAACTTCAGATTTCGATTACAGCAAGTTTTACAACGAACTGTTTTCGCTGTTGGACAATCCACCTATAGAAGAAATATGTGAGGATGAGGAAGGTCTTACCGAAAAATTAACTTTGGCAGTTGTCAGGGGACAGATGCGCAGTAAAATGTTATTCTATCCGTTCAAGAACGACACGTCACGCTATATAAATTGTTGTAAATTGAACTTCATACGTACATCAGCACTGATTAATAGTAAAATAACAAGAGACGGTAAACATGTGAAGTTCACTGGAGAAGATAGGGATGAACTTCTCAATGCCTCTTATTGTTTCAAAACCAAAGGCCACGGACGGAACACTATTAAGTTTAACTATAACGAAAAGAATTCCATTATGGACAACAAATTACCATTAGGACTGACTTTGCTTTATGTTTCAAAGAGGATGACAGAAGTTGGCTATGCTTTGGGAAAGCCATTCTTTCTGATGTCGGAGGATCAAAATGAGTATTTTAAAAAATTTTGGCAGAACTGCGTCGAGAAAGAAAGGGTGCTAGTCTGTTTGGTGAAGCACACTCAACCTGGTAAAATCCGTTACACGGAACTTATTCCGTACACCGTCAACAATTCTATGATGTTCCTCGGTAAGTACGATAATTTATCCACGATATTAATCCCTTTGTGTATGATATTTTTGTATAATTATATTTCATGTTTTCCACAACTACAAAACTATCACGTATGAAGAACTAGTAGAACCAAATTTATTATTTTTGTTTTGTAACTTTAAGTAAGGGTCAACTTTTTCCTTATTTTTACATGCTGATTATAACTAATTATGGGCATCCTTTGTCACAATATGATTTTAAAGGATTTTTTAATGAATTTCTATATGTATTTTTCCGCAGTTAAATATATACCGTTCGGAAAGGAAATAATTCTTCCAAAAAAAGCTAATTATCCCGAGCCTGAATCTAATGAAAACAGAAGAGCAGCCATTAAGGAGTTGGTAAAGTCTTTGACGTTCGATTTTGATTTGAAAATGATCCCAGATCCCTGCTATCGAAAGAAGAAAGCGTTTGTTAGGTCAAAGTTACTCGATGAACCACAAGAAGAACCAATCGTTGTAACTGTTGTCAAGGAAACTCTAGATAAAGTTATAGAAGACGCAGTAAATATGATAAACAAAAACTTTGTTCTGGTAGAGGACAGGAAAAGAAAAACTGCCGCTGGTACTTCAAGAGCAAAGAAAGCCAAATAAATGTTACATAAATTATAATACCGTTTTTCAGTTTGTTGTTTATGAAGTTGTTGTTTATTTTTGGTAACTTATTTGTGCTAGTTTATTTACTCCTTGTAATATTATTAAATATATATTTTTTTATACATTTCTAAATAAATGTTTTGCAAATATTTTTAAACATTATTTCAGAATCCCTCAAATCCTCAAAAATTGTCGGTTAAAATTTAGGTCTTGATTCATAGATTACAGAGGTTATTTAAGCTACGCCAAAGATTAAGTTTTTATGAAAATCCCCGCACTCATAGACCCACAGGACAGAAAAAATCTACCCCAAACTGATATTACCATTGAATACTGTTGAAGAATAACGAATCGGAAGTCTTCTTCAAGTTGGCGAGAAAAAGAAAAAGTTATGTTGTATGTTTTGCGGTGGACTCATGCTTATTGTTCCCTAATCTACAACAATTACAACTTATTTTAGTAAATGAGATACCTACTTCCGGTTTCAAAGTTTTACCATAACCTAAATCTTAGAGTTTATACTACATGGAGGAAACACCACATGTTAGAAAGTGTAGACGCTGTGGGTACTGTCTCTTTCTTCCTAAACGTTGAAGAAGGAGTTGCGTAATTAATCACGCGAGCGAGTAGGACATTATTCAAACTATCTCTTTCTCTCTCTCCATGACTCGTCTACACTGTCACCGTCGTAAGCATTTTTCCACAAAATATATAATAGAAGAAAACGGAGCACCTAAGAAAAAGAGAGAAACAGAACCGTAGCGAAACTACCGGTCGTCAGGGTGAACTAAAAAGGCCTTCGATGGCAGGCCGGCCTTGATGAAAAATGACGGGGTCATTTCGCTTTTATTATACAGGGTGGCTTGTAATAAAGGATTGCAAGTAATATTTCTGTCACAAATAACCGAAATAATTTTTAAAGTAAAAATATTGATATTAAATATGAGTTCATAAATTCAGTTATAATACCAACAAAACATTTGAAAAATGCTGATATTAACAATGAATTTAATAAATTCATATTCACAATTTTGTTTACTTTAAATTACATCAATTATTGGCGTCAGAAATACTACCTGCTGAGATAGGTAAAATTACTAGGTATTATTGAAAATATATTTAAATGTAACGATTTTTAATGAAAAGTTATAGAAAAAATAGGTACACGTAAATTATATGAACACGGGGAGAGTTCATAATCAAACAAAATTGTTAGAATACACATGAATTACATAGTACATTAACCTCTTGAACGCCTTGATCCGTTACGAGAAGTGCACTCTTTGCTGGCGTTATCCCTTTTTGCCCTAGCATATTCGTCATATTCAGTTTACAATAGAATTGTGGTCGTCACAAACAGTATACTGCATTTAAATTCTAAGAAAATAAAAACAGAACAAATATAATATTAAAATTGTTGCAAATACATATAATTCTTGCAATCAGTATATAGAGAAGGAATTCGGATTCTCGTGTTACCGGTAAACGGAAAAATGGGACAAGCAATACCTGAATATGTACACATAACCTCAAGCGGTTCTGACTCTATTTCAGTTAATATATTTGCTAAATCGTTATAAATATGTATGTAAAACTCGTGAAACATATGAGATACAATAATATTCCCGTTCAAAGATCTACACCGTTATGAACAAAACAACTTATACCACACTAGTAGCTATCGATCTTCATAGATAATAGATATGCACAAGCAAACTTTTCCATCGTAAGCAGACACAAATTATTTAGCAGCGTATATATCCGTCATAATCACTATTTATTTATTGACTTTGCTCATGCCAATTAAATACATCATAAGCGTTCAAGAGATTAAACAACAGGTTGGTAAATGCCTTATAACAAATTCGAGGAAATCTTTGAAAAAACAATGTGAAACCAAGAATTTTTTCAATTTCCGAGAATTTATTATACACTTAGGAGACATATCTTATATTTATTTTTTTTCACGATTGAAAAATGTTTTCATGAAAATGTATTTAAAAATTGCAAAACAATTTAAACGTTAACAATTAACTACGATTTTTTCTGCATGTGTATAGTTAACATTACAAATTATTACATGGTAAATTCTACTTATAGGGCTTGTCAAGCATCTGACAGTAATAAAATAATCTCAATCGTGTGAAAACATTTTTAATTATTACATTTTTCTATACTGACATCTTTCTCAAAATGAATTTCAAAACTAATTTAGATTTTATCTCACTGAATTAAAATTTATGAAGTAAGAGAATTAAAGCTAAGCTTTAATTTTTTGTCAAAATTAGAAAAAAATCACATTTGATATTACATACTTTACGATATATGATTTTATGCAACTCGTGTGATATTCCGGGATCTCACTTCACTTGTCCCACAAATTCACCCCTTAAACAAAGTCACACTCCCTAAGTGCTTACATAGTTATAATTCAAATGTAGGCAGTTAATAAATGCTTAGATTTATGGTGCGGATGAACCCCAGCAATGATTGCCTGGTGATGGATATTTAACATTCGTCATTAAAAAACTCTTTAATTAAATTCATTGTAATATATTCTGGTAATGATCACTAGCTGTCATTGTCGATGTTCGTCAACACCTTAAAAACCAAGCCTTAAATTAAGATATGCCTCTCTTGTAATTTTGTGTGTACAGCTATTTTCTTATAAATATATAACATTTTAAAATATACAATTTTAACGTAAAAACAAACATTATATATGAAAATATAATACAGCCACAGAAAATAATTTTATTCTCTATAATTTTACTCATGAATTATAGATATATAGAGATTGTAATTTTATAGTGATAATCATATTTTTAAAGATACAATACAACTTGGATACCAAACGTTATCGCCAACCACTTTCTACTCTCGTATTCCATTTTGAAACATTTTATTTCCTAACCATTATTAATTTTCTCTTAATGTTCTCCAAAGTCTTCACTGAAAAAAAATTAAAAACAAATTATCAGTAGTTATACAGAAATGAGGTCCTATTATACAAAGTTGAACAATATTTACTTTTTATTTTTTTAGTTATTTATTACTTTACGCTAACAATTTCAGCGTGATAAAAAAATGGAAAGAAATATATTAAAGAAAGATATAACACTATCAAGTTTATTTACTTAATATATGATTTAGTTAAAAATATTAATATGTACAAGACAAATATGGATTAAATAAGCTATAAAAATTTGTTTAAAACGTTTTCAAAATCTTCAATACATATCGATTGTCAATTAGAGTAGAGTGATTATAAAAGTATTAACTACTAATTAAACACAGATACGTACTAGGACATTTCTTTTTATGTATCATCCTATTTCGTCATAGAACTCCCCAAAAAGTCCATTACTATTTGTATGTCCACATCTCAAGAACTTCAACAAATTTCATTTGCTTAATATCCATTATATTTCATTCAGAAGTTTTTCTTTTCAAATGCCAAGTATACTGCAAAAGAGAATTTTTTTTACTGACCACAAATTTTATAGAATATTTTAAATTACTGAATAAGAAAAATATTTCGTCGCTGTCTTCAAAATATGACGGAACTTCATCAAATTGTTCAGTGGAGTTAAAAAACTGTTTCTTGACTTTTTTATTCAAGAATTACAATTATTTTTTATTTTAGCGCAGACAGTCACAATTCTGTAAAAAATAAGATAGCTGTTTTTTAACAGATTATGCATTTTGATGTTGTTTATCGAATGTGCAGAACTAAACGTGTTTTACTGAAAATATGCACGTCACATTTTGAAGACGTAACGACGAAATAAACTTACCAGACATTTGGTCTGGAACTTCGAGTATCAAGTCGATAGAGAATCTTGATTATTTCTGGCAGGCAGGAAAGAATTATTTATTGATATGTTTTTCTTCTCTGTTTAACTAAAATCGATATTATGCTCTACAACAGCTACCGTATCTTAAATATAACACATTTTGTGGTAATCGACAACATAGATGATATTGAAACACAGAGGTTTTATCATTCAGTGAACATGTTCTTTCTTGAATTTTTCAGTTTCCTGCTAATAATTCTTCATATTTTGCTTCTCTTAAATATTGCACTTGAAAACAGTATCTACAAAGATGCTTGCATTAGTAAATAATTACATATATTACTTTGGAGTTTATTCCATCAGAAAAATATTGCAAATTATTGCAGAATATAAAACATAAACATATTTTTCTTTATCAAATATATTTAAGTGGATAATAAATTGTATGCATCAGATCAGTAATAATTATTAATACTCACCAAAATATTAACTATGTTNAATACTTCTAGTGTATTTAAAACGGCATATAAATTCTATTTACAAAATTATTACTATAGCATACTAAAAATATTACATATCAATTTCCATTTGTAAATTTTTTATAACTACTGTTAGTTTACACTCGATTAAATAGACAAAAATTCCTAATTTGATAAACGTATCACAACTATGCTTACAACAGATTTATTTTAATTACATAACATACCTTTTTACTTATCAATCCTTGCGCCTGATAAAAATTAAGATATACACCTAAATCCTTTGTAGGTATCCTAAACATTACCATATGAGAAATATATTATAATTTGCAATAAAAAACGCGAGGAAATTTGTAAAATTTTATACATTTAACAATTTTCAAAACCTTCGCTCACATTGAGATTCAAACATATAATCAATTACAACTTTAAGTCAAGTTGCAATACTGGGTGTTTTGATTTAACCGATGCCGTAGTAAATTAAAAACATCTAAAAATAACCTTGCCCTACATTATTCTACAATGTTTTAAAGACAGGAAAATTATATTGCATCCTTTTGTTTTAAAAATATGAAAATTTAACATAATCATAAATCTTGTTTATCTAATTATTACATGTAAGAGGTTTCTTGCACTTACTTACATGAGTGCAATATTATTTATGAACTTGGAACTTAAAGACCCTATTATACTATTTATTTTTTCAAAAGTGTAATACTGCTATATTTATTTCACTTAAATAAGAAAAATGTTCTGTCTATGAGAATTTTCAGTTTTAAGAAGGCATCTTGTGACTAAATTATGTATTTATGTTACTTACGTTTACGGGCTTCCGACACTTTTTCAGCAGCACGTTTTTCAGCCGCCAGAAGCTGTTGGATTCCCTGAGTTTGACTCGCCATATTTTTTGAAGCAATTTGATCAACTTAAAACTATTTTTATTTTCAATCGTCTAGACCAACACCCAACACAGGAGACTGATCATATGATTGATTAAAAAATTACGTACGTAGTGTACTATGTTATAGACTTTAATCACGTGGGTCACGTGGTGGTCTATATAAAAACTACTCGACACTCTCGACAGATGTCTCCACCTTGGATAATAAATAACCACGGAATGAACTAGACTCAAATATGTAGGAACAAGGAAATGAAAACAATTGAATTTTATTTGGGGATTTTTCTCTCACTTCCGCTTTTTACACTGTCTGCACCAAACATGCATTAAAAACCATTGAGTTTCGTTGGAGCAATATAAAAAAAGTGTTTTTGAATTTTAACTTTTTCATGATTAAGTTTTAATTTTTCAAATCATTATAATTTAATTATAAATTTAAACAATTAACTTCACTAAATTTTTGTTTGTTTCCGTGTGTGCAAAAGGGCAAATTTGTAATCCTCGGTTCGCCATGAATTTACAATCGCCGGTTATTTGCAGCTAACGCGTCTCTAGGTCTAGGTTTGTGGCAGTCTATGGTTAGTGTTTTCATCACACATCATATGATAACTGATTTGACGTTTATCATATGACAGTTGGGCGAGGTGTAAATTGGTGTCCCGTTACCACAAATTTTAGCTAACCTAAGTTACTGTTTCTTTTGCTTTCTTATTTTGAGATTAACCTTCCCCAAGTCAACCGAATTTTCGTCTTAAAGAAACTATTTATTACCTTTATGCCTCTAGCACAGCTTATACCTCTAGTCTCTAGTCAAAAACTAATTCCTCTAGGAAAAAATATAAGGTTAATTATGTGATGACGTAACAGATCAACAACTAATATGACATATTTCTTGTTCCTTTTGTAAGTTAGTTCAGCCAAGATTATCTAAAGAAACTAGAAGTTAGCTAAGAAAAAAATGTTGTAAAAGGAAAACAACTATTATCAGTTTTAATAAATGGAATGCGTATTCTAATGTTAACCTCAATCTCTGTTGCCAGTTTTTTTTTCAGTATGTGAAACATTTACACGATTTAAGTATAGTACAATCATTTTCTTTGCTGGTTTTATAAACTTTTCATTTTTGTTATTCATAGGTAAGTAGCGGTAAAGTAAATATAGACATTAAAGGAAAACATTTCTTTTTATTCGGAACAATTTTTCACAATAAATTTCAATGACTTACAATTTTCACTACACAGACATTGCAATATTTAACAGAATTATATTTTTGTACGAAGTTCAAAAAACGATAAATGCAAAAAATATTTGAACCCACAAGCACAGTAAAGAAAACTAAAGATAATATAGGAATGTTATTTTAATTTAGATTGTTTAGAAATACATATAATACTATAATACTTAAGAATACATTGGGCAAAGTTTAAGTAAAATTATCAATAGAAATATACATACACGTTGCAAAACATGTATAAAGTCGTTATACGTTTTTAAGCTTCGATAAGTAAACGAATTCCAAAATTCTCGCCAAGAACGTAACCCTGTAACTATTTAGAAGTTAATGTGAAATATATAAATTTATTTATAAGTACTAAACATTTAAGTCATTCTAAGTTTTTTCAGCCGCTGAATTTACTGGCGGAAATTCTTGTGAAGTTGGGGTTCAATACTGTAGACCAGCTGTAGGACCGCTTGAATTACCTGCAAAAGTGAAGTTTTTATATAAACACCAAAACTTTAACCACAACTCTCTTCAATCAGTTATTTATAAAAATAGAAATTATATTTACGGGTTCTTTTTGACTTTGAACGGCTTTGCTCATGTCTTCGATCCTGCGCTTAGTATCGATTTCGATTTTCGACGCAACGTCTTCCCTTGAACCCATATGTTTGGCTTCAAATTCCCTGAACTGGCGTTCCCTTTCTTTACGATATTTCTCGATTTCCTCTTGGGCTTCTTCCTTGGCCTGCTTTAGTCTTCTTGCTTTGCCTAAATGATGAAATTTTATCATTTACGATTCGAATAATTTAAAACATTAGGAAATATGCTTCAACTATATTATTTAGTCAGTACATCTTTTTTACGACCATTTAAGGAAAAATACTATAACATTTTACATTTTTCGATTTAGAATAAAAAAATCTATATGAGGACTGTTCTTGTTAGTATTAACTACTCTTAATTGTATTTTAATACTTCTAGTGTATTTAAAACGGCATATAAATTCTATTTACAAAATTATTACTATAGCATACTAAAAATATTACATATCAATTTCCATTTGTAAATTTTTTATAACTACTGTTAGTTTACACTTGATTAAATAGACAAAAATTCCTAATTTGATAAACGTATCACAACTACATAATAGGGATTAGGTATTTTATCAACGAAGGTCCTATGCTCACAACAGATTTATTTTAATTACATAACATACCTTTTTACTTATCAATCCTTGCGCCTGATAAAAATTAAGATATACACCTAAATCCTTTGTAGGTATCCTAAACATTACCATATGAGAAATATATTATAATTTGCAATAAAAAACGCGAGGAAATTTGTAAAATTTTATACATTTAACAATTTTCAAAACCTTCGCTCACATTGAGATTCAAACATATAATCAATTACAACTTTAAGTCAAGTTGCAATACTGGGTGTTTTGATTTAACCGATGCCGTAGTAAATTAAAAACATCTAAAAATAACCTTGCCCTACATTATTCTACAATGTTTTAGAGACAGGAAAATTATATTGCATCCTTTTGTTTTAAAAATATGAAAATTTAACACAATCATAAATCTTGTTTATCTAACTAATTATTACATGTAAGAGGTTTCTTGCACTTACTTACATGAGTGCAATATTATTTATGAACTTGGAACTTAAAGACCCTATTATACTATTTATTTTTTCAAAAGTGTAATACTGCTATATTTATTTCACTTAAATAAGAAAAATGTTCTGTCTATGAGAATTTTCAGTTTTAAGAAGGCATCTTGTGACTAAATTATGTATTTATGTTACTTACGTTTACGGGCTTCCGACACTTTTTCAGCAGCACGTTTTTCAGCCGCCAGAAGCTGTTGGATTCCCTGAGTTTGACTCGCCATATTTTTTGAAGCAATTTGATCAACTTAAAACTATTTTTATTTTCAATCGTCTAGACCAACACCCAACACAGGAGACTGATCATATGATTGATTAAAAAATTACGTACGTAGTGTACTATGTTATAGACTTTAATCACGTGGGTCACGTGGTGGTCTATATAAAAACTACTCGACACTCTCGACAGATGTCTCCACCTTGGATAATAAATAACCACGGAATGAACTAGACTCAAATATGTAGGAACAAGGAAAAGAAGACAATTGAATTTTGTTTGGGGATTTTTCTCTCACTTCCGCTTTTTACACTGTCTGCACCAAACATGCATTAAAAACCATTGAGTTTCGTTGGAGCAATATAAAAAAAGTGTTTTTGAATTTTAACTTTTTCATGATTAAGTTTTAATTTTTCAAATCAATATAATTTAATTATAAATTTAAACAATTAACTTCACTAAATTTTTGTTTGTTTCCGTGTGTGCAAAAGGGCAAATTTGTAATCCTCGGTTCGCCATGAATTTACAATCGCCGGTTATTTGCAGCTAACGCGTCTCTAGGTCTAGGTTTGTGGCAGTCTATGGTTAGTGTTTTCATGTCACATCACACATCATATGATAACTGATTTGACGTTTATCATATGACAGTTGGGCGAGGTGTAAATTGGTGTCCCGTGCGTAACTTATTTCAAATAAAGCAAAAAAAAATGAAAGGTTGTATTTTTAACATCGACAATGGGTATTTGGAAGGGCTGTGCCGTGGTTTCAAATGTGGGATTCTAAAGCAAGCAGATTATTTGAATTTGGTACAATGCGAGTCATTGGAAGGTAGGTCTTAAAAATTTATATGTAATCATGTTCTAATAGTAATTTTACCTGTGCAGATCTTAAATTGCATCTCCAGGGAACCGATTACGGTAACTTTTTGGCAAATGAGCCATCCCCACTGTCCGTTTCTACGATAGATTCAAAACTAAGGGAAAAACTTGTGATTGAATTCCAGCACATGCGTAACCAAGCAGTAGAACCTCTTTCCACCTTCCTCGATTTCATTACGTACAGTTACATGATCGACAACATAATTCTGCTTATTACCGGCACCTTACATCAACGACCTATTGGAGAACTTATCCCAAAATGCCACCCTTTGGGAAGTTTTGAACAGATGGAAGCCATCCACGTAGCAGCTACCCCTGCAGAGTTATACAATGCCGTGCTAGTCGATACCCCGCTAGCCCCATTCTTCGTAGACTGTATCAGTGAACAAGATTTGGATGAAATGAATATCGAGATTATTCGCAACACTTTATACAAGGCTTATCTGGAGGCTTTCTATAATTTCTGTAAGGAAATCGGTGGAACGACTGCCGATTCTATGTGTGAAATTCTAACTTTCGAGGCGGACAGGCGTGCTATAATAATCACAATCAATTCCTTTGGTACCGAATTAAGTAAGGACGATCGTGCCAAGTTGTATCCTCGTTGCGGAAAGCTACACCCAGACGGTTTGGCTGCTTTAGCCAGGGCGGAGGATTACGAACAGGTCAAGGCAGTCGCTGAATATTACGCGGAATATTCTAAATTATTCGAAGGTGCAGGAAACAATCCCGGGGACAAGACCTTGGAAGATAAGTTTTTCGAACACGAGGTACGTTTGAATATCAATGCGTTCATGCAGCAGTTTCACTTTGGGGTGTTCTATTCTTATTTGAAGCTGAAGGAACAGGAATGTCGTAATATCGTGTGGATAGCGGAATGTGTTGCTCAGAAGCACCGAGCTAAGATCGATAATTACATACCTATCTTCTAAATACTTCTGCGGAGATTCTCCTTGATTTTTTAAATCTTCAACATTCTATCTATACTTTAAGTATTAATTAGTGTTGATTTGACACTATTATTATTATTATATATTGTAATGTAAAAATACAATTTTTTCTTTTATTAATAAATGTATTATATGTTGATTGAAATTGTTAAGTAAGTTGTCAAGATATTAGATATAAATAAAACGTAATCAATTTGTGATTTATTGACACTTGCTTTTTGAAATTCGATTATCGGTGGGACAATTTTGAAAAATATCAGTTCTGATTCGTCTTGTGCTTAAATTACGAAACTACTTACAAATTGGGGCAAAAAAAAATTAAAGGCAAAAAGTAATACTAATACAGTACACTGTTCCCATTCTGGGTCTCGCTTCCCTTTCCAGTTAATTCATAACACGAGTTAGACTGTTTATCATCGTTTTGTACCGGACGTGAGTAAAATTAGCAACAAATAATTCATAATCAAATTATTTTTTCTTCCACTTCTTGTTTCATTGGAAGTGGCCGTAATTTAAATAGGATTCCTTTTTTATTTTGCCTCAAACTTACGTTTTAAACAAGAACTAACACGGCAGTTTGTTTTTTACCCATTTACGATCCCGTCATATCATACCAGGGGTGAAGTCCATTGACAGTAGCAGATTTTCAGAGGCAGCATTATGACATTTTAACAGAATAGCGGAGGACAGCTTCAATTGCCCTCCATCGAGCGGTCAGAACAGGATCGGGTTCTGCTTAAATTTATACTGCTCACCGTTTTTAAAAAATATATATCGATTAGATCAGTATTTTTATTTTTTTTTTAATAAATTAGTTTTATTTATAATTAGTAAAGTATCTAGGTACCAAAATTAGTTAATATTTAACAAATGATCTTTCTAAAATTCGATAGAAAGTTTTTTTTTTAATGTAAAATTGTCCAATATTGCTCTCTAATGGTTGTTTTAAAAAAGTAACAACTGGCAACACTGATAGTGTACTGATACAACTTACCACGCTAAGAATTATCTCTCAAATGTAACTTTTCGCGTAAAATAATTTGTTCTCTCATCAGGTGGCGTTTTCCGATTAAGACCTGGACTACCCCGAATACTCGCTGTTCGCACGTTCACGGAAGAAGAAAAAATGGCTCGTGTGAAGCATTAGAATATATTTACAGAAAAATTACCAAAATCAACAGCCACAGAAGTTATGTTAACATAATTTATTGTAGCAAAATGTATATTGACTACATGGTAGGTTGATAAAATACAAATTATACAAACAACAATTAGGCAACGATGCCAATTTTCAGTAAATCACAATATAAAATCACAATCTTATACGCTATCTCATATATACAATAAAATTGCACCTGAATAACAATAATAAATAAGTTACGACGTAGAAATAATGAAAACTATGAAATACCTTCTACAAAATAAAGGATTTACACATACACGGTATATATATATATATATTTATCGGGCTTACTGAATATTGGACAAAAAAAAATGCAGTCTGTAAATTAATGCACTGACTGGTAAGCATCGTAAACAAATATATAAATATTAAAAATTTATAAATGCACTGCATTCTTAATACTGATAACTTTGGATGAAACAGAATTGTATCCAAAATGTATTTTCATTCCACATTATGTACATAACAAAAAAAAAACGTAACAATAAATTAATAATAAATGGTTCACAACATAAAACAATCTTCCGTTCAAGTCAACCAAAAAAAAAAAAAGTTTACCTAGGGATCCTATCGAGGAAATCCATTTCTATTACCTTATCGATTTTTTCTAAAATCAAATCGAGCTTTCTATCCGACTGTCTCTCGGTGAAAGCGTGCTCGCTAGGAACCGATCTACTACATTCCGTCCTGTGCCTGTTCGAGCAGGAACTCAGTGTCTTGAAGAAGCTGTGCAGGTCTTTTAGTTGCGTGATGTTATTCATCGTTAATAGAAGCTCGTTCCTCTTCATCGGCAGAACGTCTATCTGCGTATCAGGAAACTTCCTATTCATCGAATCCGATATCCTGACTACGTGCGGTAGAAACGAGATCTGGTGGAACGGGTCGTCTTTCCTTATCAGATCGTCGCCGACAAACGCCCATCGGTACCTTTATTAAATTATCGCTTAGAAAAAATATGTTGCGGAAGTCGTTAAACTTACATTTGGAACTGGGGAAGCGTCGTTGCGGGTAGGAGGAGCGCTAGATCCAATAGCTTCGCCGTGGCCAGCTGAAGGCGCAACCAATGCGGGTGGCCCAGTGCGTGTAGTCCGTTGCTACTGTTAGTAGCCCAGCTTGCGTCCAAAGACGACATTAGTTTGATATGGGAACTATTAGATCACGTCAATACATTTACACACAAAATTTTAAAAAAAACAAGAAAAATGGCGCAGAATATTTGACCGCAGACATGAAGATTAAAATGAATATATTTTTGCATTCATTATGTACGTACAAATTTTAATATTTACCGATTAACAAAAGTAGACAAAAAAAAAGTTCAAATAAAGCAGGAAGCGATGGAAAATGCAGTAAAAACCAAAGTTTTAAGGAAATTTTATCTAATTCCAGAACAATAGGTAAAATAAAATATATCTCGACAGAGAAAAACATTGTTTTACATTTTTTTAATTCAAGAGCAAAAATATAAATATTTTCTATTAGTAAAACGGCAGTAGCAATGAATATAGGTTCGTTTCTAATATGAGCCTTACCTATTTGTAATATTTTGTAGCGTTAAAGAAAATAAACAAATAAAACAGCAAACGAAAATAACGACAAGCATGCAAAAGCTAACGGATAATACTAAATTTACCTGTTATTTGTCCTGTTGTATCCGCAACCCCAGCAAAACACAAACAAAGGAAACATTTTGTTAATGATCACAAACATGTCTCTTAGTTCTATATAAAATAAATTTATCAACAAACATTGATGTTAGCAACTACCGTTTCAAGTCGTTTAATAAAAAACCGTTTAGTTCTATTTTGCCTGACTCGGAGAGAATTTTTCAATTTTTGGTTACACGTAGCTAACAGAATCTTATGAAATCGTAATTTTTTACGACTGTGACCTACCAACTTCTATTTTCATGATTTATAGGTATAAAAAAACCTATATTCTATCTTTAATTGATGTTTCATCTCCATATAATTTTTGAGGATACGTCAACAGTAAATTGAATGAAGTGAAGTTGCAGTAGTTCATTTGTACTTTTGCAACTAGATCGTTACAGTGACGGTTCGGAAACTGCATAATTTGCAATTCTGTAAATATGTTACTTACAGGTTGAACGTAACTTATAGAATTATGAACTTGTGAAGTCGTATATTTTTATGATTTATAAATATAAAAACCTATACGCTATCTTTAATAAATGCGCCTCATCTCAATCTATGTAAAAAAAAAACAGTGTTTGTAAGTAAACGGGGTAATTTTTAGAGTTACAGTCAACTATTTTGTCTTAACTTTAACTCACAAAAAGATCCCGCGAGTAATTCCGATGACGCCAGGCTCAATCGTAAGAAATTACGTTTTTTTCATAAGAGTTTCCGCAAGTTGCAAGTAACAAATCCGAAAAACCGTCTCAAACTTTTCTCGAAAAGTAAAGACTAAAGCCGTGACACAATATATTACATTTAGCTTTGATCGCAAATGGTTGAAAATTGGTCGGTAACAGTTCCTGAAGCAGTACAATTAATAGGCCAACCAATAAAGATTTTTTGCCACACTTAAATGTTACAGCAAATTTCATGTATTACCTGGCAAAACCTGTAAAATAGACCTTTTTTCAAAAATTCATAACTTCATCAAATTAAAAACTGGAAAAACAATCTTGCGGAAAATGACGGATAATAATATGTAGTTTGCGCAAGATGGTTTCTGTCCGATGCATAGTTTTTGCACAATTGCATTATAAACAAATTAGGGACTTTTTTGCACAACGTGGCGATTTATCAAAAATGGTCCGATTTAAATTTTGAAAACGGCATCTGAAAGTAGACGACAAAATCTCCAATTTGTAATAAATGTGCTAAAAATGCCATTGAAAGTCGCCCGAAACGATTGAAAGTACGCTCTAAGGGTCGGGTAGCGGTAGTGGCGGAAGCGGCAAACGGTGGACTCTGACTCGAACAGTTTTTATTGATTACAACAAAATTGTTCACAACTTTGCTGAGGAAATCACTTGCGTTTTCATTTACTAAGTATTTTTCAAAAGGAAATACATGAAATTTGCTTTAATATATAAGTGTAAAAAGAGCCTCTTTTTTCGCTCTATCGGTTGACCTATGGGGCTATTATCATTTAACTTAAAAAAAATCCATCACAATTAGTATAAAACCGTAGTACCCTTAAATCATGTCAAGCAATATTCTAACCAGAATCTAGACGAAAATGTTTCCCATCATGCAAAACATATATTAGCAAATCTACATGTTTAAAAACAAAAACAGAACAAAAAAAAATTTTTTTGCAACTTGCCTGAACTCTTCCGTATCGGTGGACAACTCCTGTTCGATCTGTAAGAAAACTTGCAGCATCTCGCTTATTATAATGGGCCAAAGGGAGGTAACGTGTAAGGGACTCATCCTTATTAGAATGACACGGAAACAGAGAAATACTTGCGCCTGGACGCCCGGCACGTTCAACCGCAAACTGCTCGTCAGTTGCTCTGCGAAATAAAACAAGAAAATGCTCACATTTCACGATATGTTACGGCCCATTCGCAGATTTAAAATACACGTCGTGACATAACAAAGAATTTGTTACAGTTAAAAGACGTGACAGAGCTACATCTAGCGGTCAATGCCACTAACTGCCCGAGACCTACAAAGAAGCTGAAAAATGGCAGAAAGCGACATCTAGGATGATTCGTCCGCCAAACACACCAGACATATACCAGTTTCGGATGCTCATAGGTATGCGACAACCGATGAACGATCCAACTGTTTAGATTCGTTAAATCCAGGAGTAAGCGCAAATAAAAGGTGTAAGAGACATCTAGTGGCCATTAGATGTACCTCCAGTTACATTTTTTACCTGTACTTACTTCTTACCTGGATTTAACAAATCTAACCAGCTGGATCGTCGGTTGTCACAGTTAAGGCGTCCCTATGAGGTCTAACAAATCCGAAACCGGTATATGTCCGGTGTGTTCGGCCGACGAATGATCCTAGCCTGTATTTAACGATATTGGAGATGTAATTCAATGCTAGCCAGGAGATATAGCTCGTAGAGTACTTGTTGACGGCAATATATCACTTAAAGAATTGCTACTGGAAGAGAATGGTATTCACTTTTGCAAGTATGGCAGAAAATAGAACGTTTCGTAGCGGAATTTGAGATTACAACCACGGGTCAATAAATTATACATAAAAATACCTTGTATATCGGGCATATATTTGGCGTACTGGTCCATCTCGCTGCAAAATATGACGTACGCCAACCTCTTCAGCAGTTGGGCTTTCTGCTCGTATTCCTGTTCCCTGGAGGAGAATATGCTCAAACTGCCGCTTTGGTTCATGGAAACTCTATCTGGAATAACGTTAACGTTATTGTTATGATTATTATCGCCGATACCGTCATCCGACTTACTCATGAGATCTCGGAAAGTCGTATTGTCGTGCGTCATCAGGTTGTCAACGATTATCCTCCAGAACCTCAGGCACATGTAGTCCATTTGAAACAACGAATTGTCCAACAACAGGTCGAACACGTCCTTCTTCCACGCCTTTCTGGTGTACTGATAACTGCTGAGACTAGAGAGAAGCTTGGAACAGGCGTTGAAGCTGGGCATGTTGCGTACGGTGTGAGTTTTTAAATACGGGACGATGTTGCACATCAGCGACGTCAAGATGTTGTTAATTTTGTCTTTTTCGGAGGAGCCGAAGCAGATGTCCAAAATAGGGGCCAGAATTTCCGACAGAACCTAACAATGATAACGGTAGTGGTAGTTTTATTCGTACGCGAGGTGATTTATTTAAAATTTAAAAAATTAAATACTTACCAGTTGCGCCTGGACGCTATTACTCGAATTAATAAAAATCTCGTTGGTACTACCACTAATAATACTGGAATCCGGAGTAGTCTCCTCGTCGTGCTCTTTAACGGCGAAATTCTTCCTCAACCAAGTCGTCTGTTCGAGGCAGGAACCGCAAACTTGGGATACACAGTCTATAAGCTGCAAGGAAATATCGAGTCGTCTTGAAAAATAAAATTAGTTCAGCCGTCGTACCTTAGCCGTCACATCCTGCAGGTCCTTCTGGTCCTTCCTCTCCTCCAAGGGACAACACTTGATCATCAACTCGTGCAGGATGGCGGCCAGTAGGAATTGGGCGGGAGGCGACAAGGAACAACCTTCTCTGATCAGCGCGAGCAAGGAACCCCACGCTTCCGACAGCTGAGTAGCGGAGGCGTTTCGCATATAACTGCAACATACATTATTGCTTCACAGTCAGTTTCATTTTAATTTGTTGAATTTGAAATATATTTTTAAATCCATTCAAGGTTTAAAATAAAACGTTTTTCGTTAAAGCACCGTGTTTAGTTTGCGAATCTCGGTTTAGTTGAACTACGCCTGATGAGATATGACGATATTCTTACCAATAAAACAATTCGAGAACGGAAACGTCCAAACAGATGTCCGCACTAAGCCCTTCAGTAGGCGGAGGATTTTTTATCACAGCCGTTACAGTTTGTACTAGATTGTCCAGTGGAATGACTCTAATCGCCAAAATCAAATACACTAAATTGTTTTGGCCGGCGTTCGGCTCGGGAAGCACCTGAAAACCAAAGGAAATAGATTATATTTCGCCACCGTAAAGTAATTCTTTGCCTGTACCGTTTTAACGCTAGAAAAAGGGTTCCTCCTTTCGTACCACGCCACCGAGATGGCCGCTAGGAAACTAGCGCCGTGATGTACCGAGATGGGGCTCAAGAACTCCAACAACTGCTGTTTAACAATTTTCGAATTGCCATACACCCCGTTGTAGTCGTTCTCTAGATTCACGATCGTTTGCCAAAGCTTCGCCACGCTCGAGATAATCCTCGGCATATGACTGAGGATAGTCTTCCTGGCGTTCTGGTAATTGTCCGAGTTTTGCTTCGCCGTTAGATTAATATCGGCACCGAGAGGCGAGAAAAAGGCGTTGACGAGGTTGTTTATTAATTCTCCAGGGTTCGTCACGGGGGTACTGGGATTAATCGGCACGTTCTGGTTAACCGTCTGCGAGGAATCAAGCAAACAGTAGTGACAGAGAATCGTCAGCGCTTCCAGTTGGGTAACGGCATAATCCGAACACAACTCGTCCTCCAATTCGGATTTTTTATAACTCGCGGCGATCTCCTCGACGTTGTTACAAATCTGATGTATGACGCTGATGGTGATCTGCTTAAGGCTGTCTCCGAAGTAGGGTAGGCACGAAGTGACCATGTTCAGCCACTTCTCGTGGATGTGCTTCATGTTCCGCTGGCGGAGAGCGCTCATTATCGCTGAAAGAAATATTTGCTGTTGAGGAATTAATACTACAGAGGTGTTTAGATGTTCCCCGTTGGTAGTACCGTTCGTTTCGGTCGTCTGGGGCTTCGAGGGGAATACGGCGTGTTCGAGGATTATCAGCGAGTGGATCAATCTGGAAAAAAATCAGTGATGGGATTATGCAGATGGTTTTTCGAAATTCACCAATTAAAAAATAGATTTTACAATTTTGGTCGGAGTACAAAAAATAAGGCTAAAACACCCATTTTTCTTTTTTTTTTTTAATAAGAATTTAGAAACGAGAGTTAGAAGTATGTCGCTCACCTCAAAATTTGTATCTGAAAGGCCTCGACGTGCTCCCCAACTTTATTACTGCTATCGTTTAACTGGAAGTTGTTGAAAGCTAGTATCTCCTCCGCGAACGTCATATCCTCGTCGAAATTCCTCACCGACGTCAACAGACAATTCAACAGGATCTTCTGCAATTTACACTTCACCAACAGGTCAGCGATGTAGCTGGAGAAACCCTTCGAGTTCTCCCCTACCATCGTCACCAGGTTTCTCACGATAATGTCCAAGATCTCCAGACTCTCCAGTTGTATTTTCAGGTTATTGTTTATTTCCTCGGTCATCAGCGACGTGTCGTCGAGCAACGGATAGAACGTTCTCGCGTAATTCAAGCATATCGATATGATAACGTCGAGGAACATGTAACCGCGATAAAAATTCACGTGGTCGCCGCTCAATTCACCGCTGAAGCCGCAGCCCAGCAGGGATTTTCTGTGTCGGGATAGGAGGTACAAAATTTCATTGTTTTTCAGGTTCTTTATGCCGCTCGTCGCCAGGCATTTCATGAAGAGCTGGGGGTTAGACAAAACACAATTTCTCAACGTCTGCAAAGCGTAGAGTACTTGGTTCGAATCGAATATCTCGTAGTACAAGCACAGGTGCGAGTGAATCGGGTAAAGGACGAAGTTTTTCGATATATACGAGTTAATCTTAGGCTTTAAATCCAGATCGGTAGGCCTTTGCGGGATATAATCCATACCGTCGTCTACTTTCGAGCACACGTTATCGATGATGGTATTTAATATATCCGTGACGACCGCGTGCTCTTCTTGCTTGCCCTTGAAGAACTCCTCGGCGCTCTTGCTCAATTCCAGCTCGCAGTTGAGGTTCGCCGAGTCGGATATGCAGTACGACCAGCTCTGCACCAACGAACTTTCCATGTCGGTCTCCTTTATGTTGTTTATTTTTTCGTCGAAGCTGTGCGACTTGGGTATCTTCGCAAAATTACCCATTCCGTTGACGCTGTGCGCCTTGATCCCGTCGGATATGGGCTCCATACTTTCCAATAAAGCCTTTGTCGTGAAATCTTTACCGTTACTGATTAACAATTCCAGGTGGCTTTTGTTTTTGAGACTGTCGAAACCGGAATCTCGGTCTCCGGCGTTGCCGTCGGGCAGCGAGTTTTTCATGAAGGAATCGTCGTTGCTCGTGTGGGTGTACTCGTTACTGGAGGACAAGCTTTCCAGAGACGAGTGCGATTCTAGCTTCGAATAGGACCCGTCCAGGCCCGTGGGGTACACCTCTTTCGAGCTAAGTGGGTTGATTATTAATTTGACGTTGCCCTTAGAACCCTTGTCTAGTTTCGGCGATACGTTAAACGCTTTGAAGTCTTTGTTTTTCTTCGTTACTATGTTCGAGTCTTCCGTGATGCTTGTAGTCATGTTTATGACCGACGAGGAATATTTCTTGCCGGTTTTAGAGAATGTAAACCACTTCTTTTTCGGTGGTTTGGGGCTTGGGTCGTCCGTAACGTGGTACATTATGTTGCCGTTAACGCTGCTCACCGCATAAACTTTCTTAGCCTGAACGTCGTCCATTTTGTTGTTGTCCTGGGAAGTCACGTCGCTCTGAGTGTCGGAGTCTTGAATGTTCACGTGTCGAATGGATACCCGAGCCGTATTCGAAGCCAACAGTTTAAGCAGAACGGGGTTTATTATTCTCGGTATGTCGTTGTGGAGGAGGCTGTGGGTTAGAAACGTTTCGGCCAGTAGCTGCAAATAAGGATTTTCTTTGTTCCGCAGATTGTCGAGGACTTTTAACAGGGACCTGGAACGAGATTGAAATGAAAATAAGCGGCGGCTAAGTCGAATCGACGTTACCCATCGAAGTTTTTTATGTTCGTCTTGCTCGGCGGTAGTTTAATGTTAAGGTCTCGTCCTAGATGCCACAGGAGGAAAAATTGTTTGATGTACTGTACGGTTATGTTGTCTTGGGTGAGGAAGCTGCCGATGACTCGCTCGACGAACGAGTTGCTGTCGAAAGTGTTATGTATTTGGTAGAGCAGCGTGATGCATAGCATCAGCTGGCCCTGATTGCTTAATATCCCTAGTAATCTCCATAATATACGAGACATTTCCTAAAAAATAAACGTCTTTGATGAGCGATGTAGCAATAAAACAATATGGATAAAAATAATTTTTGTTCCGTTTCGAAAGCAAAATTTATTATTGAAATTAATTTTTTTAATCAAATACTCGAGTTATTAGTTTCTAAAAATGCACTAATTCTTGTTTTTAAACGCTGTGGAAACGAATCCTGGTACCAGTACTCAAAGATTAACCACAAAATTTCAAGTATGTAATATGCTGCGAAAATCAGGTGAGCAAACAGATTATTTACCGATTTTTGAGTATTTATATAGTTAATTTCGTAACTGCACCAAAATTAAGTTAAAAGCAATGTGTGTGTGTGGAATTCTGTACGTTACTACTAGAAATTGACAAGGTACAACTAAACCACTGGTGAATCACTAGGCGATGACACGTCTGCTGTGAGGCTGCGTATTAGAAGAGAAGTAACGGGTAAAAAAACATATTTTAACACAATACAAGGTCCGAAAAAAATGTCAACTCACCTCGATAACAACCGTGTTTTCTTCAATATATTTAACGTGAGAGACGTGCAAGATCCCAGTGATGACAATATTCGTCTTACACTCCTCTTTCTTGGGCAACACCTGATTCTTTGCCAGGCTAAATATTTCTAACAGCGTAGTCATTGCCGTTAACTGGATATCCCTGGAGGAATCCTTGGAGCAGGCCGCCACGATCAAGACCTCGACCCAGGCGGGCAATTTTTCTTCCGCGTTGTTTTCCAACAGATTAGGAAACGCCGAAAATTCCAGGAGGATATTGGAGGCCATGCTCATGGACTGCTCGTATTCACAAACCGCAGTCTCCGCGGCGACACTGGAAGCTGACAAAATCTCGTTTCTGGTTAAGTTTTTAACTATGGCGACCGGCGAAAACTCACTCGGGTCGTCGGATAACCGGGAGTCGAGCAGCTTCACTAGCTGCTTTGCTCTATCGTTTTTATCTCGGACTAAGGTGTTGAAAAATGCCTGTATGTCCGTGCCCGCCAAGACTTTATTTTTTATAAGGCCTACATAGAACTTCTTGTATTCTTTCAAGCATTTCAAAAAATATTTGTTTTCGATCTTAGCGGTCTTCGATGTGGTTTCCGCTACCTCTTTAATGGTACACTCATGTTTTTCGGGTGTGGCGTTCTCGGAGCTCAGAGAATCACTGTTATCGTCCTTCTTAAGGTCGTACAGTTTGGAGCTTGATTTCGATTTCTTGTTTTTAGACTTCTTTTCTATCCTCGGACTGGATTTGTCTTTCTTTTTTAACATTTGGTTGCTGTACGATCTCTCCCTGCTCAATTCCTCGACGGTTAACTCGTTCTTCTCGAAATGACTCAAGTTTTCGTTTATTCTCGAATCCGATTTGCTTTTTTCCAACGTTCTCTGGTCTTCGCCTTCCAGTTTACCGCTGTCTAGTATCAGCGAACTTTCTAGGGATTTCTCGAACGTTTCGTTCAGTAGCGAATCGTTTTCCTGCTCGATCTCCGACTTAGTCGCTTGCGTTACAGAAATCGGCTGGAATTTCGTCAGGATTTTTGTACAAAGCTGTAAACTTTGCGTTATCTCGTACCTGTTCAAATCCGTTATATTAGACCTTAAGGTGCTGATGATTTTTTGAAATAAATTTGGTAAAATATTAGAAGTACTTTCGGCATACGACTCGATCGGTATGATATCGAGTAAAAAATCCGTTAATATGCATATCTCCAGTATATGCGGCACTCCACTCCCTATCTCGTTCACTTGAATGCGATCTCGGTATTTATAACTTTTTATGCTCTTCACGGACTCGTCGTACAACTTTTCAATGTACGACCAAATGTAGTAGCTCTGTAGCGTATTAAACAAGAGATTCGCGTTTTTTGTCAACTCCTGACAATTCTTAGAGACGAACTGTTTATTCAAAATGTTCTCGTCGTTCTTTAAACTAGTCAGGTCCCCGTTGAAGGAAACGCACCTCACCAAGTTGTTTTTATGCTTTTGCTGGTGCAGACAAGACAGATATAACGTTCTGAAAACGTCGTACAAGATGCTGTCTAAAATCACAGGCCCGATTTGCGGTTTGTCGAATAACGACGTCAACAACCGGTACGGTTTCACGTCTATGGGGGATTCCGTACAACATTTCTTTAAAATAATCTTCAGTGCATCGTTTAATAGGTCGTAAGCTATAGAGTGGTGTGGGGTAGCCATATGATCTTGCTCACCGTCGACTTGGACCAACGGCAAATTATTAACTTCCTGTTCCAACAGCCACGAATACAACCGTCTGAAAGTTTACAACAAAGCGATGAGGATGTAGGATGTAATAAATCAGCACTTACCGATTTAAGGACATGTCTCTTCTTAGTATTGTTGTGAGGGACGCCGTGACGAGCCTTACCATATCGGCGTACAAAAGCTGCTGGTTCTGCATCGGGAAACATACCATTAATAGGTCCAGAGCGGACCGTTGAACTAATACGCTGGAATCCTGTACCGCCGCGCACAAACCGGAGACCTAGGGAAATAAATTAAACGATTTAAAAATGAAATGAAACTTTAATCGAACAAAACGTACCATTAAGCCGATGTCATGGCCCATTAAGTACAGCTGGTCCTCCATCGGTAATTTCCTACTGTAATGTGCCAAGACGAAGCTTATCGCTGGTAATCTAACGGGACTGTTATTCGCTACGCACTGCCAGATACACGTATAAAAATAGGGCGGTTCTACTCCTTCACACACATTCTCTAATAATAAATTAATCCTGGAAATATCGATATTAGTATATGTTCGCTAATAACGATAATAATATCCAACCTATCGTAATGATCAGACCCTGTGTCCAGTCCTGGTAAAATCCCGCTTAAAAATCCGCTCAGGGCCGGGCGGAGTCGATCTCTTAACGGAACAAAATGCGTTTCGTAGATCGTTAGCAAGGTAGGTCTTATATTCATGGCAGCGTGGCCCATGAGGGGGAAGAGGCCTGAGGCGTAAAATTTTGTTTGTTTATAAAAAAAATTATTGATAATAACGAATTACGACAATTTAGGGGCTTTTTCTTATTCCTCAAAAAGAAGTGGTTAAGATGTCTTGGTTTTCGTGAAAAACAGGATGTCGCACACTGCATATCGTGATTTATTTAACATATACAGGGTGTTTTTCAATTCTGGTGGCTTTCTAAATGAGTTCCTGCAACTTTTTTGTATGTGAAAAGATTCGATTTTTATAAAGAGGTACTTTTTTCCATTAAAAAATATAAATAAAGCAATATTCACATGTTTATACTCAAAAAAAATATTATAACATTATAAATTTGTTCCATTTATTGTAATTGGGATTAGAGGGTACAAATTTATAATTTTATAATATTTTTTTGAGTATAAACATTATATTGCTACCACCGCACGCCGCGCCGCATTGCACGCCGTTGGTTATAATCGAAAAATTTCTGGGTTCTAAGTAAAAACATTGTGTAAAAAGAAATTCATTACAAAAATTAAATATTTTCGGAAACAAAAATTTATAAATTTTTAAATTAATCAAGGTGTGGTTTATACAAACGTGTTAAATTTTAAATTATTCAATATAACACAAACTTCAATTTATGTATTTATACATTTTACATTTTAATATAACTGTAATCACAAAACACAACTTCAACTTCAAGAACATAGGTTTTTTATTTATTTATCAAATCGGTTGAATCGATTAAGTTTACTGCATTATTATATTAGACCAATTATTTTGATCTTGAAATCTTCTAAGAAATGGAAATTACAAATAAATCATAAATAAGACCCAAAGCGTTACAGGGAACTACTCTAATTACAAGTGACTGTTACTATGAGATCGATAAGTGGAAATTCCAACAATAGGAGTACCTGCAATAACCGATTTATAAATTCTAAGATAAACTTATCATCTGTGGCAATGTATACATTTCAAATATTAATCATGAACAGGATTATCTACAACTATTTTTTAAAATCATTTCACAATAGATATAGTATGACACATATACTGTTTTTCATAATTTTAATAATTTGAAAGCCAGACAACTTGTGGGTAACAAAATATTATTTTTAGGAATTAAAATGAAAAAACATAGACATTTTTTGTTTTATTTGTAAATACTTTTTGTAGTGTTTATTATTTATCATATAAAATAAGATTTAAAAACAATTTATTTCAAAGGAAAAGCTACAAATATCTGAAATATATGAAATAATTTCAATTTCTCTCTATATTGGTAGCTCTATTTTACTACGTTCATCTTATATTGACATAAATTGATTTAAATTGTATTAATCATCTGTTACGCCCAGAATCTTTATAAACGTATGAAGTAGACTTCACCGCTATGATCGATTGAATTGTAAACCAAATACCAATCTGCCAAACTGTTTACCAACCACTTAATTTTTACTTTTATACATAGAAAGTAAAGTTTACTAAACATACATGATAAGTAAACCAATTATTGTAGAAATTATAAAATATAGTATATACAGTCTTTTTTTTTAAGAAAACTATGAAAATTATATTTTATTTGTAATAAAATACTTGTCTGCTAAATGTTTTGTTGCATACTATCCCATTCTTAATTTATTATAGATACTAAGTAGCTTTAATGGATTTTTTTCTTAGCAAACCACATCCTCAACCGTTTATCAAGAAAGATAAGAAAATATAACACAAACAGTAATTAAGGGTTATCACTTTAAGACTGGAGTAAAATAATAAAAATGTCAGTAAACAAACAAAAGTCCAAGATTAGATGGGATACTAGAAGATTTAAATTTTAAAAAACTGTCATCTTTGCCAGCTCGAAAATAAGTTTATTTTAGATTGGAGTAAGCAGAAATTCTTTTGTTATTTAAAATCCCCGAAAAGAACAGCTATATCGCTTATTAACGGATATTTCAGTTAAAAATAGGAAATATATTTATTGCACACATGTTGTGAACATATCCCCATTCCAAACTACATTTCTAGTTATGTTTACTTGAATCCTATAAAAATATAAATATACTTTAATGTTTCATACGAGATACTTCTAATACTTTAAGTGCCATATATATTTTTGCATAAATAGGAAGTGAAAATACCTAGATAAGATATCAGACATAAATTACCATGATATACATTTATGTACAACTGTAAAATATGATCATGTTCAAACGTGAAATAATCTTTTTCATTTCTTTGGCTTCAAAAACTAGTAAAAATAAAAAAGTTTCGGTTTCACAATAGATGAAATAGTGTACAAATTCTGCCATTTACAACAAATAAGATAAGGGGATACGATTTGTACTTAATTATTAGATCAGTCACATTAATACTAGTTCGTTAAATACAACGTAATCCATGTTAGTTACAAAAAAAGTATCAGTACAAATAATTTTTCTAAATGCAAATAAGGATTATTACTGTTAGCATTAACAAATCATAGTTTATCTTTTTTTTAATATTTGATTACAATAAACATTTACATTAAATATATTTCATGTTATTTGAAATTAAATCGTTTCTTTCTTTACTGACATCGATTTAATAATAGTAACCCTAAATTACTTCATGTTGAAATTAATTTTGTATTAAATATTTCAATTTTATCGACTATACGTTCGTATTCCATTAAATTAAAAATATCTACTACCAAATTAAACATATTGTTTAAAATTTATTACCCGAGATAATTCAAATTTTCAATGACAAGTGATGTCCATATATGAATTAAATGTGATTAAATTCTATCTATGATTCCAACGAACAAGGAAATATTTTCACGTCTAATATTGGTTGCTAAAAAAATTTATTGTAGAAGATTCATCATCTAAGTGTGACAATTTATGGGAATTATTTTAAACTAACTACTGTTACTCTTAACAATACGTATATAGTATACCTGCACTGTAAATAAAAAGTTCACAAGCTAGCCTGTTTGTTCCCATACAGCGGAAAATGATGTCATACGTTTCCAAAGCTTTCAAATGCACACCTGATGGCAGAGCTGGGTGCATACACTGTGCGAGTCTCTTACTAATCTTAATTCGTCTTGGTATGACAGGAAATTTGGTATAGCTTAGCAAAACCTTAAAGAAGAACCACAATGGATGTGACAGTGAAAATGATATAAAATACATACCTTATTTAGTTTACCCAAAGCAGCAATTAAATCGGCCCATTCTGAAGTATACTCAAAGTTTTTAAGCGCCTTATCGACTGCTGCGACGTACATTCGGTACTTTGAATCTTTCATCAACTCATATTCTTCCATAGTCACACTCGTCATGTTTATAAGTTATTCTGTTAAATATGTCCAAAAATAAACTTCCTAGAGATATCCTTCACATTACAAATAATTGACATTTGACACAAGACCAACAGTTAGAACAACATTTTCTTATAACTCTATATATAGATCCATTTATTTATTTCAACAACTCGTAAAGTTGAAACAACTACAAACAATTTTGACCACTTATAGATTGTTCTGTCAGTAATAAAAGCTTCTTTTGTTGACGTGTTGGTAAAAAAATCACTGTAAACTAATTGTTTAATAGTCAATTGTAACTCATACACACAAGTATTTAGCACTAAAGTTTTAGACACAAAATAAAGATTTTCTGAAAATAACGATACCTAATTCCAATAATTTTTAGTACTGTTATGACATTTGGCATGATTATAAAAGTCAATCGCATTTAACAATCGAAATTCGATTGACATTTCGATTTGTTGTCCATCAATCCCTATTAGCAGCTTTCTTTTCGATAGTTATATTCGATTGATATGGATAAAGAACGGATCATTCATTAGTGAATTTGATTTATTTGAATCAACTAATTCAAAAAATATGGAATCGTACTAAAGGAAATCGTGCTAACTATGGAGACTATACCCGAACTTTTGGATTAGTAAGCCGACGCGTAACGCATAGTCTCCATTATATTTTCATTATTTATTGATTTATTTATTTAATTCAAAGTTGCCTAGATTATTTATTTTAAAATGTTTAACAAATCACAAAAACGACATGATTGATTTTTAATTGAATTTCGGGGTCACTAGCGCCCTCTAATTTGGTAAGATATTTGTTTACATGGACATAGTGTTCGTCTCCTTGTGTGTAAATAGGTGAGGTACGTAAGCATCTTAGGACAATCGATCGTGAGCATTCACAACTCTGATTTAAAATGATAAACCAATGATGATGTTGCCTTGTGTAGTCTCCATGGCAGAAGAAAGGGCCCTAGCCGGCGGGGCCCAGCCAGGACAAAAGGAGGTCCCACAAAGCGCCCACACCGACCGCATTTGCGGTCGGGGTAGACGACGGATGGGGCCCACCTACGAAGGCTGTCCAGGCCTACATGAGATGAGGCATGATAAAGAGGGATAATCCCCCTCGATCCCAAATCATTGAGGCCAATTTCTAGCCATGGAATAATGGCGCGTATGATAGGTAGACACTTTGTTTAGTGTTCAGTGGTTGAGCACTGTGATTCCACGTATGTAGCCAACTTCTCTACTTTGACCACATTTTGACGTGTATTTCGCAGTAGTGACAGATCATGGAATAAACATTTAATTAAAACCTGTAAATTAATAATTTGTTATTTGTAAATAATAAGGCAAGAAAATGGTATTAGCAGATTTAGGTCGTAAGATTACGACTGCTTTGCAGTCACTCAGCAAAGCAACGATTATTAATGAAGAGGTAAATATAAACAGATGTTAGTAGAGGTTATCTAATTTTTAACATATTTTTCCCATTGCAGGTTCTAAATGGAATGCTTAAAGATATTTGCGCGGCCCTTCTTGAAGCCGACGTTAATATTAGACTGGTTAAAAAACTGCGAGAAAATGTTAGATCTGTAATTGACTTCGATGAAATGGCTGGGGGCCTCAACAAAAGGCGAATGATACAGAGCGCAGTATTCAAGGAACTCGTCAAAGTATACTTATGAAAATATTTCGTTAGACTTACTTATAATTTATTTTGTAGCTTGTAGATCCTGGAGTAAAACCATATCAACCCATTAAAGGAAAACCCAACATTATTATGTTTGTCGGTTTGCAAGGTTCCGGTAAAACAACGACCTGTACAAAATTAGCCTATCATTATCAAAAGAAGAATTGGAAGTCCTGTTTGGTGTGCGCGGATACATTTAGAGCTGGGGCGTACGACCAGGTCAAACAGAATTGTACAAAAGCTAGAATACCTTTCTATGGAAGGTAAAATTTATTCATCCAAATGCGTTTATATTTTCCTATACTAATTATTTTCAGTTATACGGAAGTTGATCCAGTCGTCATTGCTCAAGACGGTGTTGAAATGTTCAAAAAAGAAGGTTTTGAGATCATTATTGTCGATACAAGCGGTAGGCACAAACAAGAGGAATCTCTTTTCGAGGAAATGTTGGCCGTTTCCAACGCTGTAGTAAGTATATTTTCATTTTATTTTTACGATACGTTTGAACTACTGTATACAAAGCTGCGCATAATATTCTTCTAGAAACCGGATAATATAATATTCGTTATGGACGCGACTATCGGTCAAGCCTGTGAAGCTCAGGCGAAGGCTTTTAAAGAAAAGGTAGACGTCGGTTCCGTGATAATAACTAAGTTAGACGGTCACGCCAAAGGTGGTGGAGCTCTTAGCGCGTGAGTATGAATTAATGATCCTTCCATCGGAAAACCTTAACACTTTTATTTCACGTTCCAGGGTTGCGGCTACGAACAGTCCTATTATCTACATCGGCACCGGGGAACATATAGACGATTTGGAACCCTTTAAAACGAAACCGTTCATAAGCAAATTATTGGGCATGGGGGACATAGAGGGTCTTATCGATAAGGTAAACGAGTTGAAATTGGAGGACAATGAGGAATTATTAGAGAAAATCAAGCACGGCCAATTCACCCTGAGAGATATGTACGAACAGTTCCAGAATATCATGAAAATGGGTCCATTTTCACAAATAATGGTAAATTTACGCGGTTATTTTTAAGCAAGGTCTCGATGTTCCCGTTATTCGTTTCAGGGTATGATTCCAGGGTTTAGCCAGGATCTTATGTCGAAAGGCAGCGAGCAAGAATCGATGGCGCGGCTGAAAAGGCTTATGACTATAATGGACAGCATGAACGACGGGGAATTGGACAATAGAGACGGGGCCAAGTTGTTTACCAAGCAAGCCGGCAGGATAACGAGAGTGGCTCAGGGAGCGGGTGTAACAGGTAAGAGACTGTACGCAACGCAGCATCGACCCGATAGTTCGTTTTTTTTTGTTACAGAAAGAGAAGTGAAAGAGTTGATAACCCAGTACACGAAATTTGCTGGCGTCGTGAAGAAAATGGGTGGCATCAAGGGACTATTCAAGGGCGGCGATATGGCCAAGAACGTTAACCATACACAGATGGCGAAACTTAACCAACAAATGGCCAAGATGATGGATCCCCGGGTGTTGCACCAGATGGGCGGCATGGCCGGTTTACAGAATATGATGAGACAACTCCAAGCGGGTGCCAGCGGCGGATTGGGCGGTTTAGGTAATCTTATGAGTGGCTTCGGTGGTAAATAGTGGACGTGTTTATTTAAATAAAATTAAAAATTTTACCAATTTACAGATAGTTTTGGCCATTTTACACCAATTTCAATATTTATATAGTTTTGTTATGATTTGAGAAATTTTTATAACATAAAATAAAATATTTGATTTACTTTGCTGTTTCGTTAAAAACCAAGTCGGCCTTAAAATAAATGGAAATTATTGTGTGTATACAAAACCGAAATGAATTGTACCTACCGATTTTATTAAAATTAAACAATTAGCACTGAAAGGATCGGTCAATAGTTTATAAGCTTGGTTCTGCCTAACTGGAAACGTGTCACGTTTAGTGAATTTAAATTATTCTTGAATGGCGGCAGAAATACCCGATTAATTAAAAACCGTATCGAAATCACAAATCAATAGTTATCGGCATTTATTTATAATCTTGCAAGTTAGAGCGGCTTTACAGGATGCCGCAATGTTCCATCGAAAGAATTCTGCAGGTCACGCTTTGATCAAAAATACAAAAAAATAGTTAATATGAACACGTTAGTCTAGAACGGGGTTTTCCAAACTGTGCTCCGCACATCACCAGTGTTCCGTGGGAAGTCGGTAGGTATGCCGCCAAAAAAAGTTTATATTAATTATTTATGTTCTTTGTTTCTGAATCGTTCTTATCAAATGAATAAATAAATTATCGTCACTTATTAAACCTAAAAAAATTGGTTTTTCTACCTAAACTTGGAATTCTACCTGTGCCAGAATGCTAGAACTAGAAAATGGATGTGGTGTTCTGTGAAACTTTTAAAACTTCTAAGGTGTTCCGTCGCTAAAAAAGTTTGGGAAACCCTGGTATACAACTTCCTTTCTGAGACGCATTTGGGGTCGCCAAACATGCTATGATGGTCTGTATTATTGCAAGAGCTTTCGTCGCGAAAAAAATCGAAAATCTATAAAACTGGTGGAACTAAATGCAGTTGTGGATTGATCAGGGCCGTTATTGTCCACCTGAATTTTTTCAGAATTTTCATTCCCAAAAGCTTTTTGAGAAAATCGATGGATGGATGGTTCATGAAAATTGTCAAAAAATTAAAGTACTCATCTAAAAGCCGGTTTGTCTCAACTTTAAGAATATATTGTTGTAGAGAGCAGAATGAAAAGTTGCTTGCTTAACGTGATCACACTAGGTATGTGGATCGCACTGGCTGTATCGACGAAGAACCTGCATAGGTGAGATGTATTGTACTCATGTCTTATTTTTGTGAACTGCTAAGCTGCAATAGAAAATACCGGAATTATATTACTGTTTTATAAATAAAGGGAGATTTATTTACAATTCTGTTGTTGAGTTTTAATGCATTTACCCATAATCTGTGATATATATAGCTTTCGGAATTATTATGCAGCCACGTATACACACTTGTGTATTGTTGGTTGCCTATTCTAGCCAAAGCTTTAGAATTGGAAAGGTCCTCTGTAATGAAAAATATCGAAAACTGAAGAAGCTAGAGAGGAACTGCATGCAGTTTTGGATTGGTCAGGGGTCAGGACCATCATAATTCACTGGATTTTTTTCAGAATTTTCAGTACCTAAAAATTTTTGGGAAAATCGTCTTTAGACGGTATTTTAATTTTTCTGAAAATTCTCATGAAAATTGTCAAAAAATTAAAGGGCGTTTCTAAAGGGGGTCTGGGGTTGGTAAATTAAAGTGCTGACGCTTTGTCTCAACTTTTAGAATATATTGTAGGTAACAGAATGAAAAGTTGCTTTCTTAACGTAATCGCACTGGCTATATCGAGGAAGAAACTGCGTAGGTGAGATGTATTGTACCCATGTCTTATTTTTGTGAACTGTTAAGCTGCAATAAAAAATACGGAAATTATAATATGTTCAATAAATAAAGGGAGATTTATTTACAATTCTGTTGTTCAGTTTTAATGCATTTACCCATAATTTAAAATATAAATAATTTTAGGAATTATTCTGCAACCAAGTATACATAAATTAACTTCAAACAGTAAGTATTTTACATGTAGTGTATTGTGTATTGCCTACATAACAATAACTTGAAATAGAAGGAAATAAAAATTCTCGGAAACTGGCAGAGGAACTAAAAGCAGTTAATTGCATTGTTTAAGCAGTTATTGTCTACCTGAATTTTTTCATATTTTTCAGAGGCCACCGTTTATGAGATACATGGCGTTGAAATTAACAAAAATAAAACAATATTTGTAAATATCTGGAAAACCGCTTCATAAAATTTATCCAAAGTTGGTCCAATTTTTTTTTCAAATATTTCTCCTAGGTCTATATGCACATAATCCAAATTCAAAGACCAGTGGCGGAGAAAGAAGAACGTCGTTTCCTTATTTAAAACTTCTACGACGCCACTGAATAAATTGGTAATATTATAGGAGAAATATTTGGCTGTATCGAGGAAGAACCGACGTTTTTCCGAGTAGGTGATATATATTCTTCCCGTGTCTATTTCTTATGAACTATTAACCTATAATAGAAAATACAAAAATAATATTACTGTTTTATAATTAAAGGAAGATTTATTTATATTTTTAATCCTTTTGCCTATAATTTTATAATTATTAATTACAGGAACTCTTATGCAGCCAAGTATACACAAGTATGTATTGTATGTTGCCTACCTAACAAAACCTTAAATAGAACTGGAAAGAAAATATAAAATATCTCGAAAATTGGTGGAACTACAGAGGAACTGACAGCAGTTTTGGATTTGTCAGGGCCGATATTGTCTACCTGAATTATTTCAGAATTTTCAGAGTTGTAAAAATTTTTGAGAAAATCGATGGACTAGGTCATTAATTATTCAGAGAAAAAAATTTTGGGGCTCGGAAAAATCTAAATAAATTCCTCTAGACTATAATGGTACTGGCAAATCCAAAACTGAAATGAATTTCTCTCTAGCTCTCGTGATTTTCGAGATATTCATATAGAGATGTATTATTCCCATGTTCTCTATTTTTGTGAATTGTGCTACATTAGAAAATACGGAAATAATATTACTGTTCTATAACGAAAGGAATATTTAATTATAATTGTGTTGTTCATTTTTAATACATTTTTCATAATAATCTACACTACAGTAGTATATAAAATATATATATAATTTTAGGTATTCTTATGCAGTCAAGTATACATATGTAGCGTATTGTGTGTTGGCTACCCAACAAAAACTTGATTAGAACCGGAAAAAAAAGAATATAAATTCTGGAGAACTGGAAGAGAAAGGAATTGACAGCAGATTTGGATTGATCAGGGCCGTTACTGTCTACCTGAATTTTTGCCGATATTTAGCCCTAAAATTTTTTGAGAAAATTAATGGACTATACTTACTTGTTTATGAGAATTGTTACAAAATTTAAATGCGCTTCTCAACTGGGGTGGCCATATACGCTCTGTTGCTCAGTTTTTGTGCGTTTCCGTCGAAAAAAAAATAGAAAATCTCGAAAACTAGAGGAGCCAGAGAGAAACTGAATGTAGTTTTGGATTGGTCAGGGTCGTTATTGTCTACCTGATTTTTTTCAGAATTTTCAGACTTCTAAAAATTTTTGAGAAAATCGATGGACTTTATCGGCTTTTCGATGAAAAAATTTTAGAGGCCCGGTAAAATCTGAAAAAATTCTTCCAGACTATAACGATACTATATTTAAATTTACCGCCAAGCGCAGCGTAATAAAGCGACATCTATTGCATAGTTTTTGAACTACATTCTCAAACCAAAGACGGCTAGCACGGTCATTGCAGTTTCTATTTTGTGTTGCAGCTGCTATTTTTCACAGACTGGTTGTAAGATGGCGCCAGTTGCGTTTGGAGCAAGTGATGCTTCCAATGAAAGACAAGGAAATAAAGCCTCTTATTTAGTTACTCGCTTGTTACTCGTATGCAGATTGCAGAGATCACAGACTGTAGTGTTATATGTTTTGGGCATTGTGTTACAGCACAGCACAATTTTTTAACTGTTTTGTACATAAAATACTAATAAAGGCTGTGAATAGCGTTCCGTATTTTTTATTGCTAGTTCAGTCAATGAATCGTCATGCCACCGCCAGCAAAAAGAGATTGTGGTATAATTTTGTTTGATGTTAACGCTTCGAATAAAGATGAGGCTTTAGCTGCCTTAATGAAGATTTCTACATTCATTTGGCTGTCTGATACGAAGGATACATATAGACTTATTTTATCAAATACAAAGGAATCCAAGAACATAAAGAAATACAAAAATTTGTATGACAGTAAACTAACTGACTCGGATCCCCAGCCTATACTTAGTTGTATTGAAAATGCTGAGCCTGAAGAAGGAAACTGGTACGATGCTTTACTGCTAGCTATCGCACATCTAAAAGAAGCATATGAGTTGCCAGGTGTTATAACGTTACAAGTTTTGTATATGACCAAGTTAGATGGATGCTCACAAGACGTAGATATGACCAAAGTGGAACGAATTATAAATGATTTGAGGGAATACAATATATACTTGTATATTATAGGACCTGATGTGAAACTTCCATTTACTATTACAAGAGACTCGGATGTTTCAGATGCCATGAAAGACATATCTGTGGTAAATTTAGTGTTTTTTAATATTTATCTTGGTATAGAATTAAACATTTTTAGGATGAAAGTAATCAATCGTTGTCGATGGCGAAAAGAATTGTTGATGCCACAACAAACACCGTCTTATGTGACTTAAAAGTGGGTATCAACTTATTTTTTTCATTCAGAAATCCACGTGGGACACAACCTTGGAAAGTACCCCTTAGTTTCGGCAGTCGATTTGAAATTCCAGCTTGTACTGTCAAAATTTATAGAAGGGATGCACCATTTAAGCTAACTATAAATAGTCGCAATTCAAAATTTGTTCTCCTCGAGGACGAATCAGTTTCAGTGGACATATCAGATTTGATTTCAGGGATCGAAAGACATGGAAAATTTGTCAAAGTAAACGAAAGGGAGATGTTCAAAGTAGAAGGTCCTAGAAGTTTCGCCGTTACGGGGTTTACACATAAGAAAAATATTCCCGAGTATTACATAAGGGGTGAGTTCGTGAAACAGTTAGAGATAATTTGTTTAACTTTCTGAAAGAGTATGTACATAGAACATTTATCATTGCAGAAGGTGCATTTTATGTCCTCCCAGATGCCGACAAACCGGATGATTGTTCCCAGATACTCTACGATTTAATCGACGAGTTAACCGAACAAGAAAAATATGTCGTCATGAGGAGAGTGTACAACGCTAATAACAAACCTAAATTTTTTGTCCTCGTTCCGCAGCCAGATTTGCAACCTAAATGTTTCGTAATGTCGGAACTGCCATATGCGGATGACTTGAAACAGAATTTTAAATGTACCGAACCAGTATTAACTGAAAAAGTTGAAGATGATACTTTTGAACAGTTTTCCAACAGTATTGATATTTGGAACGATAATTGCAAACTGAGCATCCCTTTAGGTCCTAAAATGATGCTCGAAATTTACTCGAGTAAACTGGCAAATGCAGTGGCCAAACAATATTTGGAACAGGATATTTCTTTTGAAGAGCTCGATGTAGATGATTTAGAGAACAACGAAACAAATGACTCCTTAGAAGCTTTGAAAGCGTCTTGGCCCCAGAATGATAAACCCAATGAAGATGAGGAAGAGTCTACTTAGTCTGTTAGAAATGTTTTGTATGTTTTTTTCTACAAAATACAAATAAAATTTCTGTTTTTGATTTATTATCACATTAAATTAAATCTAAACAATTTAGATAACTACAATCAGTACAAACACATCCACTTTCATAATTCAACAACGGTTTTGTTATGACGTTTCTTTCTGTGTCTGAGGGGGAGGTTTCTCATTTAGTTTAAAATCAAGCGGTTTGTCAGAGCCCATAATTTTAGCATAGTGTTCAGGTTAGTCAAACACTCTAGGATCCAAAAATAAAGCTTTCCCCTTTGCAAAAAATGTCGTAAACAAACCAGGGACATCTGGAACTTTTACTTCTTCTGGTTTAAATTCAGTCTGTAATACAAATGTTTTTGTTTACCTACAATTTTACATATTAAATATAATTTTTTAAATTACCTCTTTAGTTATACATAAAAAGTTTACAGTTTTTGCGATATAGCTGTTACTTTCTGCATTATATTCCAAGTGCGTGATATATTTTTTTGTTACTAAATGCATTAATATAGGAGTAACAACAGTAAAGAATCTAATGAAAGAGTAGGCAGCTATAGTTACGGGTACATTTCCTGATGCAGCTATTACCTTGTATAGAAATGGTTGTGCTACAATACCAACTATGCTCGATGATAATGAGAATATCTACAAATTTTAATATTGTTGATTGCTAGCGTCATTAGTAGCAAACTTATGCTTACCTTAACTGCATGTATCTGAGGAGTGAAAACTCCATAATATACTTGCTTCAAATTCAAATTCTTCTCGAACCTTTTTGAACTAGTACTGGTTGATGAAAATCGTACATCTACTTTATTATGCGCATTGCATGAAGCTACGTAATTTTGTTTGACGTGAAATAGTACCGGCAGACACCATAATGTATTGTTGTTTTTTATGTAATTTATAATTTGAGATTTGAGGGAAAACTTTACAATACTTTCTTAAAGACATTTTCAAGTATAACCTAAAAAATATTCATGTTGAAAATTAAAAATAATACCGGGTTTTAAAGAACTCTTCTTCTTCTTCCTCTTCTAACAGTTCTAACCATAGAAAATATACGTTAGTACTATATTTTCTATGGTTCTAACTTGAATAATAATAATTGTGATTGGTTAACCAACAAAAGTTCCACTTCACTGAACGAAAAATTGAATAGAATGGTATTTCATATTGCATGTGTTTTTCTAATTGCACGAAAATGGTCTATTTTTGTGCGTGCTTCCGTCGAGAAAAAAAATTGAAAATCTCGAAAACTGGAAGAGCTAGAGAGGAACTGAATACAGTTTTGAATAGCCGTTTTATTTCAATTTTGAGAATATATTGTACGGAACAAAATCAATAATTGCTTCTTTAACGGAATCGCTTTGGTTACATCCAGGAAGAACCGTCTTTTTTCTGTGTAGGTGAGATGTATTGTCTGTTTTTTGTGAACTGTTAGGCTACATTAGAAAAAACATAAATAATATTACTGTTCTATAAATAAAAGAAGATTGTAGATATAACTGTGTTGTTTATTTTGAATGCATTTACTAAAAATCTACAATATATAGAATTTTAGGAATTCTTATGCAGCCAAGTATACACATGTATTGTATTGTGTGTTGCCTACCAAACAACAAATTTAAATGAAATCGGATCGAAAAAAATCAGAAAGTCTTGCAAACTTGTGGAGCTACAGAGGAACTGACAGCAGTTTTGGATTGGTCAGGGTCGTTATTGTCTACCTGAATTCTTTCAAAACTTTCAGAGTTGTAAAAATTTTTGAGAAAATCGATGGACTAGGTCATCGATTTTTTAGGGAAAAAATTTTTGGAGTTCGGAAAAATCTGAAAAAATACCCCTAGACTATAACGGTACTGGCAAATCCAAAACTGAAATGAATTTCTCTTTAGCTCTCGTGATTTTCGAGATTTCATGTAGAGATGTATTGTTCCCTATTTTTGTAAACTGTGCTACATTAGAAAATACGGAAATAATATTACTGTTCTATAAGTAAGGAAAATTTATTTATAATTATGTTGTTCATTTTTAATACATTTTACTCAAGGATTTTATTTTACCCATAATCTACAATAGTATATAATATGCAGCCAAGTATACACATGTAGTGTATTGTGTGTTGCCTACCAACTTAATTGGAATCGGATGGAAAAAATTCTCGAAAACCGGAAGAGCTAGAGAGGAATTAACAGCAGATTTGGATTGGTCAGGGCCGTTACGGTCTGCCTGAATATCTTCAGATATTTCGGAGCCCTAAAAATTTTTGAGAAAATCGATGGATTCATGAAAATTGGCATTAAATTTAAGTGCGTTTCTAAAGATCGTTCCGTAAGCATCTGGGGTCGCCATACACGCTGTGTTGGTCAGTTTTTGTGCAAGTGTTTCTGTCGAGAAAAATATAGAAAATCTCTAAAACTGGAGGAGCCAGAGACAAACTGAATACAGTTTTGGATTGGTTAATGCCGTTATAGTCTACCGGATTTTTTTCAGAATTTATTGTAATAAAAATTTTTGAGAAAATCGAAAAATTATCAAAAAAGTAAAGTGCCCATCTAAAAGCCGTTTTGTCTCAACTTTGAGAATATATTGTTGTAGGTATGACGATGAAAAGTTGCAATCTTAACTGTTCGCACTGGCTGCATCGAGGAAGAACCGACGTAGGTGAGATGTATTGTTCCCATGTCTATTTTTTGAGAACGGTCAAGCTACATTAGGAAATACGGAATAATATTATTGTTTTATAATTAAAGAAAGATTTATTTATAATTATGTTGTTTATTTTTATTGCATTTAATCATAATTTAAAATATATATAATTTTAGGAATTCTTATGCAGCCAAGTATACATGTGTAGTGTATTGTGTGTTGCCTACCTAACAGAAACTGAATTGAAAATTAAAACAAAAATTTTAGGAATCTGAAACCACTTTTGAATTGATCAGGGCCGTTATTGTCTACCTGATTTTTTTGTCTAAAAATTTAAAAAAAAAAATCGATGCAGTTCATGAATTGTCGAAAAATTTAGGTGCACTTCTAATGGCGCTGCCATACTGCTCCGATTCCTTCAAAATTTATTGTGACGATACTTACCTCAATATTGCTGTTCAGTTAAAATAACGTATTGCCCCTTCCGAAAAACCACTACTGCTAGTAACTTCACACCTGTTATGATACAACGGGATGGTAAATGTGTAAAACACGACTGCAGCGTTTTGTTTTCATTTTCTGGTCTCTGTGTGATATTATAAAAATAAACGTTGTATACAAATCAAGGACTTTATATGGTTAGAGCCAATTTTTTTTGTCAGGAGAAAATGATGTTGCCGGATGGTATGGGAAGTCTATTAGGTAAATAAAAACCACATCTAAAAAGAAAATGTACACCACACATTTATTTTCAAACAAATTGTTATAGAAGCAACCGTTTCTACAAGATTTAATAATTCCATGATAAAAGCATATTTATATATTAAATATATTAAAATCTATATTTATAATAAAATTTTCACAACTGTTAACTGTGACGGAAACTCTTAGTACCCTCAAAGAGAATAAGTAAGGTTACTTGCATCTAATTCAACAAAAAAAAAGACGATTCTCACTTAAACATTTCAAGTAAAAATTAAAGTCTAGGCACTATATATAATCATTAAAAAAATAATTTACCTGGAAATGAAGAGTTTTTTTTTCTAGCTAAGCAGAAATTGCGTTGAATATAATTGAATATATAATTATTATATAAGATTCCTTTGAAAATTTTTTAAATTTTTGTAGTAAGTAGATAAAACGTACATTAGATTTTAGAATATTTATCACTCATGCATAATAAAATAAATATATTTATTAAAATTCGCAACTTCTCGATTGGTCATTTGAAATGATCTTAAAAAAATAATAATTTCACTGGAATACGCAACGACGCCAACAAATAAAATCCCATACTCGTAAAAATAAATAAAAATCAAAAGCGTAAATTAAACAATAACCGGGAATACTGAGGGACAACTTACGTCGCAATAATAAAATATATGTATATCGGTTTTATAAAATTTAAGTTGTAAGATTTTGTCCCCGATAAGTGATTTTTTAGTGAGGATTCCTTTCCTCCGACATAAACTGATCCAGAACTGTTTGCATCGAATGGCGATAATCCGATTCGTTTTGTCCACCTGGTGACGTGATGATTTGGCTTACGGTCCTGACCGTCCTTGTTATTCTGCAAACACCAAAAATATACCAGTCTGATTTCACAATAACCAGGTTTGAAATTGAATACATTTTTAGCAGGCATTTTATCGCACTTTAAGACAAGGAAAGGTATGGAGAATGACATCAAATAAATTGCAAATTTACGTGTTTTTTCACTTTTTTTAATGCCCATGAAAATCTAAACGGGCTATCGGGAAAATTAGTTATTTTATGTCATAGGCAATTAAATTACGTACAATTTAAGGTCCCTAAAGTAATTTTTCACTTGTTAACTGTAAAATAAATTTCAAAAGTCAGTTTTCGGATGGATATTGATGGAACTTCTGGAAAAGACGGTCAATCCAATAAGCAACATGTGTCCCAAGGGCCGATTCGATTGGTCGTGAAACTGTTGCTCCAAGTATTTGTTAATAAATTTTTTTGCAACCAATTGTTTAATTCCTAAACGTTGATTATAGAAGTTAATGTCATAGATACAGGTTCTAACTGATCCAAAGAAACGTATCGAAAAAGAAAAGTTTCAAAAAGTTTAAATTTAGTTGCTCCTTGTAACTAACAAAGTAGGCTACATCAACAAATTGTCTCACAGTCAGGCAAAAACTGCTCGGGAATTCACTCTTTTTGCATTATATAGTGCTTATTTTTACAGTAATTTAACAAAAATGAAATCACATACGCCTCTTTGTTCCTAAGATCGCTTTTTTTATAACATTAACTGCCAATTAACTATTGGACGTATCGGACCGGGATTTTAGAGACAATTAACTTAACTTTTACTGCTGCCAACACGTTTATTACATGAACTATCAATGTAAAACTTTAATTGTCCTTAAAATCCTGGTCCGATACATCCAATAGTTAATCAACAATTAACGTTGTAAACAAAGCTGTATTAGAACCAAAGACGAGTATGTGGTTTCTTTTTATGCAAAAAAGAGCAAATTCCCGAGCATCTTTTGCCGACCCTGAGACGATTTCTTTATAAAACCGTTTTGCACGGTTTTGTTAATTTAAACTTTTTGAAATTTTTCTTTTCCGATATGTTCCTTTGGATCCCAGAACCTATAATTACGATAATAACTTCTGAAATTAAAGTTCAGTAATTAAACAATTGGCTGCTAAAAAACGAACAAAATTAATTAACAAATTTCATGATCACTCGAATTGGCTTTTGGCACACACGTTGGTCGTTGGACTGGCCGTCTTCTCCATAAATTTTATCAACATTCAGCGTTTTTTGCAATAATAATACGCAATTTTCAAAAACTGATTTTTCAGCGTTCGACCTTTATTTTAAGGTACAAATTGGTACCTTAAATTTAATTACGTATAACATAGAATAATTAATTTTTCCAATAGGTCCTCTAGATTTTCGCGGGCAGTAAAAAAGTGAAAAAAACAGTAATTTTGCGACTTATTTCGAGTAACTTTTTTGATATTATCATTCAACATGTAAGTTTTCAGGGTTTATAATCAAATTGGACCAGACTTTGACAAAATTTTATCGTTAGACATTTTTCTAATCGAAAATTCCGCCATCTTTAAAAAAACCGTCAACAGTAAAAGCTACTCACTTTGCTCCAGTTACCGGGTCGATCTCCTCTGTTGTGGTTACAGTATACTGTGGTTCTTGCTGATAAAAGTCTTCTAAAAAATGCACACCATGCGGTTAATACCCAGTCGATTTTATATTAAACTTGCGAGGATACAAGGGAAATAATATTTCGTTTATTATCGTTTAATTTAAAATTAAGAGTAATTTATGCGGGTCGAATTACTAACGCATGCAAAAAGTGTGGAAGTTAATAAAAATTAAAGTTATATTATTTCACCATAATCCGAACGAAAATAAACGACTAGGTACAACATGCTACTTTTTAAAACTTAATCTGTCGAGGAACAACAAATAGTGTTAATTTTTATTTACCTTCGTTCACTGCACACCTAGAAATTTTTGTTGCTCGAACAGATTAAATCTGTACGAAAAGAACTAGACGAGAAATTAAATTAATATTATTAGGAAAGAGAATACTCTAAGAGGCGAAGAAAAGCTTCTAAATAGGCTGCAAGCAGAATTATTATTAAAAAGCAAATTAACTTTAAGCCGTTCTTTGCATACAGATTATTATGTGCAAGCAATGTGTTTTGTGTCTTGTTTCGATTGAATTTCAAATAGAAATCATGCCTCATTTGAATATTACGTCCTTGATGATGAAATATGTTCACAAAAAATGTTTAATTGAATAAAATTTAACCCGACTATCGGCAACGAAATTAATTACGTATTAGAATTCTATCCCACAGAGAAATACGATGTACAGGCAGGTTTAAAGTGACAAATTTTAATGAGAGACAGAAAACCCTTCCTCTTCTTTAGTCCATTACTTTACGTCGCCGGTTTTAATCCTCATTTTTACATGTAAAATAATTAATTTGATCGATTTATTGTTATACCAACAGACACAAAACAAAACAAAAAAGCAAAAATAAAATTACATGACAATTTTTTTGATTTCTAACAAACGCAAAACAGAAAAACACTGAAAGCGAGGAACTAAGAAAGAAATTTTTAAGGTTTAATAAAGTGAAGTTGCAGTAGTTCATTTGTACCACTGTAACTACGAGCGTTGCCGTGACGGTTCGAGAAGTGCATAGTTTATAACCCTGTAAATATGTTACTTAAAGGTTTATAGCATCATAAATTTACAGAAAAACAGAATCGATCCACTGTAGTAACCTGTAGGTAACGTACTTACAAGATCGTAAATTATGCAGTTCGAGAACCAACCCTGCAACAACCCTAGTAACAGTGGTTCAAATGAACTACTGCAACTAATTGAATTGACGAAGTTTAATTTCAGACAATAGTTGTGGGATAGAAATTAGACGGTATAAAAACGATATACCAAGACATGTAACGTAGAAAACGTACGTAGAAGGCAATCTGGACGCCTCTAACGATTTAAAATTACGACGCTATAAATAAAACGTATGTGTTCATGTATGGTGTGTGTTTGTGTGAAACATGAATGAGCTGTATTAAAATTATTAATAATTAATGCAAAATTTTTGCATACCGTGAGTCAATATTGTGCGAGCAGTGCCAACACGATCATGCTTGTTGCCAATGCGACAAACGACCACACTAGAGGGTAAAGAACATGCCAGGTCTCTAAAGGTTTTGGTTTTTTTGATGCTAGGCAATAACACTCGATCAAAACGCATGTTCGGTTATATTAAATGTATACCATTCAAATTAACATTAAGTTACAAACCTGGTACGGAAAACAATTGGGCGGCCATAACTTTTTGTACACGTACATACAACGGGAAAAGTTTATAAATAAGTGTTTTAGTTGGGGGATGTTAGAAATCGTGTTTGTTGTAACTTATTATTTTTTTGTTAGTTACTAATTTAAGTAAGTTAATGTTAATTTAATGGTTAATATATGAGAAAAAAAAAAACATAATTAAGATTTAAAAACAGATCATAACACATCATTCATGCGAATTATAAAAATATTAGTTATTAATAAATGTAATTATCGTTTTTGTTTATCAATGTTTAATATATTTACTCTTTAAAAAAAGTCTAAACCTTCCGATCGGCTGAATATAATCGAAGGACAAACGCTTTAAAAACCAAATTTAATATCCGGATTCCGGTACTTTTTTTTTATTATTTTAAACAGAACGGAAGCTGACGAAAACTGATCTAACACACAACATTCTAACTTTGCTTAAAGCGACTATAAAGTTCAAACAAGTGGAAAGTGTAGGAAACGTACCTGAGTCATCGTCGCTAAGTTCCGCACCTTCCTCGTGAAGCGCGACATCGGATCCGCTAGAACTACCGATGGTACGCACCGACGTCTTTTTCAGGATCCCCTTTAACGGCGGACTCCTTCTGCTGTCATCGTCAGAATCTGAATCTATCGTACTGCTTTTGGTAGACACTCTGGAGCCAGGCGAGACTATTGTAGTCGTGGTGGTTTCCACGAACCTCGTGGTATCTGGAGACGTTACGTCCTTTTCCATGCCATCCGGAGATATTATTCTCGTGGTTTCGGTCTTCAGTACCGGTATTTTACTTCTAGGGGACACCTCGATGTTGTACCGTTCCGTCATTTCGGTAGGAGATAAGGATTCCGTGTGGAGGACCGGTATTTTACTCTTTACGTGTTCGGGAAGACTCTCGCCGGTTATTCTCGTTACGGTCGTTTTTACGATGGGGTCCGACGTGACCGTTCTTATGATCTTCGTCGTTTCCTCGTCGTCGTCCCAATTCACGTCTTTAGACAAAGTAACGAATTCCTTCAGAGGGTCCTTCGAGTGTTTTTTTATGGTTTTGACTTTACCACCTTTCATAACTACCGGGATTTTGCTCAACAGTTCGCTCTCTGTAGGAGAGACGGAGTCGGATCTCTCTTCGTTAAATAAAACGTCTATATCCTTCTCTTTCTCCAAACTCTTCCTAACCTTAGCTACGGGTATGCTGCTCCTAGGACTCTTCGGCGATACGGGAGTGTCCGTAAAGGAAACGGTTTTGCTGGGTTCCTCGCTACTGAAAGTCGAATCTATTTCTCTTTGTATAAAACTCATGGAATCCTCCAGGTGGGCGGATATGTTTGGACTTGAGGCCTCGTTCTCTAAAAATTTGAAAGCCTCCTCGCTTTTTTCCTGGGCCGCTGAAATAGAATCGTCCTTGAGACTCTCCAAGTTATCCAAGGAATCTTCCGTCGTGGTTTTTAGATCATCGAAGATACTATCGGCTATCTCTTTGGTACTGTCGACTTTATTTTCCGCAGTTTCCAAAATTTCGTCCTGGAATCTTATCACCTTGTTTGATTTATCGTCGGCGAAGCTATTTAAACTGTTCAATTTATCGTTTACGACATTTTCTGCCTGCCTAATAACCTCCGTAACCTCACTCTCCACGACCGTACGGAAATCGTCGTCTAACAGTTTCTCCTTTTGATGCGCACTTTGAACAGCGCCATCTACCTTCATATCCAAACATTCACTGAACGCGTCGTTATCTTGTGGAGTTTCTACGTTAGCGTCTAGAAAGCTGTCGTCGTAATCGCTCGTCGACCTCTTAGGCGTCTTCAAGTTAATGCTGTTCAAGTCGATCTCCTTCGCTATATGATCGTCTTTCCTGCTCGGTATAATTATGTCTTCTTCGGGCAAGAAGTCGTTTCTCTCCTGATGCAAGAACGTGAGGGTATCGCTGACGTTTTGTTTCAAAACGGCGATGGGATCTACAAAATCTTCCTTCGACGCAGGAGATACGACTTCGTCTCGCAGAACTCCTTTTGAAAATATCAAATAAACAATCTACTGATAGACTGGAAGTTTTAAGCTAGCGTGCTGGGTTAGAAAATGTGATATGCGAAAAAAAGGAAAAAAATTAGAAGTGCCGAAGCGCCACACCAGGTGCTAAAGAAGAGAATACCACGCCAAGAGAGTAAGGGGGATTACAAAGCATAATATTAAAATGGGCATGACCTAGGCGGTATAAGTGTGATGAAAGTCACCTCTTACAGTGTTAAATATACAATTTTTTTTCAAAATATGTAACAAATATAGCCGACCAGATCAACATTTAAATGCTTAACCGTGGACGATTGAAAAGTTGATTAAACGAGCTGAAAATCGTGACAAATATTGATCTTATCCGTTGGCAACACAAATAAAAATAAGAAGCCTCTTAACGGTAAGCGCACATTTACCGACGTACCTTTATTCGCCTCGTTTCGAATAAAATCTTTGTTGAAAATGTTCGCCTCCTTGTCGAAACTTATTTCAGCGGGACTAGGCGGTGGGGTATTTGCGTTGGCGTCTTGCTTTGGTTTAGGCGTCGAATGTAGGTGGTTCAGGTGTTGCGTTATTTCTTCTCGAATTTCGGCGGTATGCGTATTATCGGGAGTGCGCGGTCTGTTGTCCAGCTGTTCGATCGCGTCGTTTTTAATCAAAAAGTCGTCGCCTGTTGTGTCGGTCCCCGATAGGTTTTGTGCTTGGTTGTCCTCTGAAAATTGAAATCGTAAACTAGGACTGTGAATTAATTTTGAGGGATAGGTGGCGTAACTTATGCTATATCGCATCCGAAAAAAAAAAAAAAAAAAAAAAAAAAAAAACCCTTACGATTGCTCAATACAAAAAACCCTTCGACACTGTCGATGAAAAACGCTATTCGACGCATTGCTAAAAACACTTACCACTCCTGCTACTCTTATCCAGGTCCTCCTGACTCCCTTGGAACGAACCGTCGACGTGGACGTCCCGCCTCAACGAAGTATCCCTCGAAGGACCCAACTCGTCCTTCAAATTCTCGAAACCGGACTGATCGAGGTGAATTTTCGCCAGAGCCTTCTCCATGTCGTCGGTCACCAGCTCCACGTTGCAGATACATTTATTAACGATATCCTGCCTGCCGATCTTATTCAAAGCCTGCTCCAATTTATTCCCTGAAAAAAAACAAACGTACAGCAACACCGTCGTAGGGTTTAAAGGGAGGCGTTACCCGTGGCTTTGTTCGCTTTTTGACGTAACCAAAGCCGGAACATGATCATAGCCTGCTGCGGGTAATTCCCCGGGTACTCGTCTTTTATCAAGGAGATATCGGACGGTGGGATGTCCAGTTCCATCGCTAGCTTCTCCCAATCCTCGTGTAAGAGATTGCAAATGTCCGATAATCGGAAATCGGCTCGGTGGATAGTATCGGGTTTACCTGAAACGGACTTCGTATAAAAAAAAAAAAAGAGAGAAGAGAAGAACTTACTGATGCCGCCGTGTTGCAAAAAGCTGTGGTCCTTATCGAGAGACAAGAGGTCCGAGTGAGAATCCCTGTCCGGAAGCACGTCTTTGGGTAAAATTAGATTGAGCGTGCATAGTGGGGTCTGGTTGGGTTCTCCCCTCGCCACCTTCGCATCGCTCATGAATACGATACGTCCGACCGCCTCCTCGTCCTGATAAAACGTAGAATCATTTTTTTTTAACAGCGAAAGTTTAAAAATACTTACTGGATCCCTCAATCTCATGTTGAAGGCTAGACGATTCTCCTTGAAGGCCTTGAAGCCCAGTCTAGGCTGGTCTCCCGACTGCAAAACCGGCACAAGGTTCCCAGCAAACTCCATGAATATATCCTTCGGTTCGAGCACCTCAACGTCTCTGCTTTTGGCGATTTCCGTAAAATGTTCCTGATGTTCCAAGGTTTTGTCTTCCTTGTCGTCCGTCATACAAAACACCCTGATTCTAGCCTCCAACGAGCTCACTCTCTTCGCGAAAACCACAAATTTCGCCATAAACGGTACGTGCGTTACCTAAAATTCGAGATAAATCATTCTCGGTTTCTACATTCGAGCAGTTAAAAAATAGTACTTGGGTGTATAAATCCGTTGCCATTCTGGCAGCGTCCGAGACGTTCCGACAATCCATGAGCCAGAACCTCGCCGACACCGTGGTCGTGAACGACACACAGTCTTTGACGAACGTTAGGGGAGTGGATCCAGTGACGTCTTCCCATACCGCCTTATTTTGGCCACCTAAATAGAATATTTATCATAACCGTGTAGGAGAGTACCGTACAGATGAAAAATATTATTGTTAAAAGATGTGTGTGATAAGCGAAATTTCGAAATTTGTGTAAATATTGTATTACAGTTAAGGGGTGCTGTTTCAAAGTTTAATAAGTGAAAGATATATTGCAATAGGTACTATTTTGTAGCACAAACATCGAAAAGTGAAGTTCACGGTATTAATCGTGCAGTTATTATAGTGTACCATCGTTGTTTAGCCTATGAGTAGTAGACATATTCAAAAAATACAAAATAAACAAAACGGCAACAAAATTCTACCGTGAACAGTTAAAATTTAAGCAAAATACGATCTTCCGAATGCTTACGAAGAGCCACTACTGCCAGTTGCCTTCGCACCTGGTATGATATGACAGAGAGGTAAAAGAATAAAAAACAAACTGCCGCGTTAATATGAACCTCATTCAAGCTAAGAGTCTTTCACTTGCCTTCATTGCTTTCGGGCTAAGCTCCACTGGGCACGACCCTACTGTCAGAACCCCTAGACCTTCCCCGATATTAATTAACACGAACCGAAACCATATGAGCTCGGGCCTAGATGTTCCGATAGCGGGTGCGCCCCTACAGAGCCAAGCTCGAGATTCCTGGCTAATGGTACGTTATATTAACTCTACGGTACTAATAACGACCCAAACGTAAACTATGTTCTTATGCACTCCGTGTGACAACGAAGGAGTTGAAAATGCAAAGAAAAACTAAGTAAGGAAAACAAATCGAGAACAAGCCCAATTCAATCCAGACACCTAGTATGGGAACTAAATTTACCTGCTTTAGTTCCTATTGAAGCATGAATATGAAAATAATATTTTGCAACAGTAAAGACAACACTGATAACGATTACGTCTAACATGCAAAATGGTATAAGCAAGTTCGATGTGAATCGCTCGATACGGGCAAGTTTTCATCAGAAAAAATAATTTTTTCACCCGTGACTTACCCCCACAGTGTAGGAAACTAATCTAAGGTGAATTCTAAAGAATTTCTATTTAATATATGCACTATAATACGTAAAATGATGCAACGAACCGATCAAGTTGCAACAAACGGCGTAAAAACATGGAAAAACATTTCAACCCGTTTCACGTTACGAACGTTAAAACAGTTGTAACTTTATCAGTGAGACAAAGCCGCTCGTTATTCCTAATAGAGCCCAATTCCAAGAAGGTTATAAACAGTATCGTAACGACAGAAGGACAAATAAAAATCCGGGGGAAATTTCACTCACCTGTGATAGAACACAGCAGACGGAGTGTCGTGTTGGTCGTACCCTGGTACTGGTTGATCATACCTTGCGAGTGCGCTTTCGGCGCTGGCATACTCAAGGTTATAGCTTTGTGGAATTTCCGTCTTCTGGGTTCGACGGTGACGATCGGCGAGACGGCAACTCCGTGTCCCAGCAACTTCGATACCAATTCCGGTTCGATAGCTTGCGCCTAAAACCAATAAATAAACTAACAACTAAAAAAAATTTTGATACCGCTCCGATCGTACCTGCAGTCCGACTCTTATTTTCTTCGTGAGGGCGTTGGGCGGGAAAACGGCTTGAACCAACGGCACAGCCGAACTAGAAACGGTGCCGCCGTCGGGTCCGATCGCGTGCACCTCTTGCCTGACGCGAGACACGACGGCGAAGTAATGAGGGAAGTCGTTTGTCAAGATCCTCGTGATGCGGTTGGTGTGCAAATCTTCTATTTGGCTGAGCTCTAAAAGGAATCAAATTTTTTAGTAACGACGGCACTTTTATAAAAAAATTACCTTCTCCGTCAAAGCTATGATTCAACACGTCCTGTATAGCCTCCTCGTTGGCCTCCAAGGTGTGCTCCTTCCAGGTTTCGCCGTTGTCCGAGCGCAGGACGATTATCTCACGTTGCTTGCCTCTCAGCGAAGCAAAGTGCGGCACCTCGATAATCACAGGTCTAGAACGACACGTTTTATAAATGCCTATTTCGCAATTTAATACCCAACGTCTCACCCTAAGAATTTGGCAGCGACCGGGCCTAATTCCAGCAACCGACTGGCCAAAGCCTCACCTTCCATCAAAGGCGGCGGATGTGGAGTTCTCTGCGGGCGAACGTACCGGCAAGTTATGCGAGTCGGGCTTGCTGCGCATCTCGGGGGAACGATAACCCTCACTCCGGAGTGTCGGCATCCTCGCATAGCTCCGCCACGAGCATCCACGATGAACGATACTAAGAAACTGTCCGGACGAAAAGTCAGTTAAGGTATTTTAACGTCGATTTTGGTTACATTAATTTGACAAATAAACTGTGTGCGAAAGATTTGAAGAGTTAACGTATATTTACGGCAATATAAAGAAATAGTATAGTAATAGCTCCGTTCCCCTCGTTTATTTGAAATTATTATTAAAGCCAATTAACGATGCTTAGTGTATCAGCAATTTTTGTCCGTCAAATCATGAAAAGCGAATTTTCCTTGTTGTAAACAGAAAATGATTTTATTGTTTGCCTTGTTTAAAGAATGAAATTACTCTAGATCTAAAATAGCACGATAAATTGTGCCTGTCGTCCGAACGACAGTTTTGTTCAAGAATCTCGAAAGGAGCTCTTTCTTTTAAAAGTAAATTTTCCCGAATTAATTTGGGTGTCGCTCGAAAAGCGATCGCATACAAATGCGAAAGTCTGAAAAATATACACGTGGAAACAAAAAAATTTAGTAACAAACATTAAGCAAGTTATTCACACTGCCTATTCTACTGAGATTAAGCATTACTAATCTGTACACTGTACATAAAACTTACTTCTTCCAACTCGGGGCACTGTTGACAACACGAAAAAACAAAGGAATACGGTTAATTCTATGCAAGCATTATTGGTTTCATGTTTGCAGTTGGATAACTGCGTTCTGTTAAAATTCTAACGGGATAAGTCAAAATTCAATTTCAACGTTAACACGCTACAATATGCAGGCCAAAAATAAGAAAATAGTTTACATGACAGCTCTATTATTTTTAATTATTTCCTTTTGCTTTACATGTTTCCTGGTGCATAGATTGGCGTAATGATCCTATTTCTGGCCGGTTAGGCCACCAGACCTGAAGCCAGGTCATTAAAGTTTTATTTAAAACAGAAAAAAAAAATTACCAGACAAGTAATCAATGTTTCAAAAAGGCGTAAGAGCAATTGTCTTCTCTCTTCTTCAGGATAGCGAATATCAGGAAAAATGACCTCTACAAGTTGTTTGGGTCATTGGGATGACCTTGAGTTTGACCCTCACGACCTTGAAGGACATATTCAAGGTTATTTTAAGGTCAAATCTTGTTTTTTTTTTTAAGGTTGAATCGTGACACATCAGGATAGCGAATATCGGGAAAAATGACCTCTACAAAAGTTGTTTGGGTCATTGGGATGACCTTGAGTTTGACCCTGAAGGCCACTTCAAGGTCAAATATTATTTTTTTGTAAAATGAATCGAGACACATCCCCTTTCGGGACGGTGTCACCATTCCCAATATATTCTGAAGCAGCAGGATTTGAACTGTCAATGCGAACCGATTATGCCAAGGCCACAACGAAAATCATTGCTGTGTCTCAAAAGTGAATAATTTATGGATCTATATTCATACGAACTTCTTTCTTATTTTTGGCACAATCTGTTGAATTTTGACGGTATATTAGGATGGAAATAAGCATTTGCTGAAATTGAATTTTATGGAATATATACACGTATACATACATCTATCACAGTCGCTTATATACATTATATACAAATATAAATATGTATAAAACTTCAATACCGTTTGTCTAGTCAACTGTAACTTGAACGATGTCTTTTAAAAGGTGACATATTTCTTAAACTCTACCGGTATCGCACGTACTATACCTTTTAATTTTTTTCATCCGCATTTCAGCACTTCGCACAAACATATATTACAGTAATTTTAAAACCTGTTATTACGCTTTTATTTTTATTAGAAACAAAGTAAATATTATTTATTGTGAAGCGAGTGATAATTAACTAAATGTTTATGTGTACATTGTTATTTTACAACACCTACCGAAGCAGATATTTCTATGTTTTTATGTTAAAATAATACAGTACGTTAGTAAAAACAAATTACACAGAATTAAATGTGACGAGATCAATATATCTTACCAAATGTGTTTTTGTTTTAAAGAACGAGATAATTAAATTCTGATAAAGGTACTATTTTTTTGGTAGTCACTCAAAAGCAGGATAAAAAATAAATAATTATATGAATAGTGGCGTTAAACGTTTAAATATCGCTTGTAAGTACGTTTTATCGTGTCTTTTTTCAATCGACGATATTGTTTTTGAAATATTCAGCATTGATGTGTGAAAGACGGATGACGTTACAGAAGCGTTCACTTGAATTTCTTCATTCACAACGATCGTTTATCCGAATCGATATACAACAAAAAATGTTATTACAACGTCAAAGTAGAACGTAGTTATAGTTGACGTAGACACATTCAACATTCATTAGGGTATCAAACTCTACAAATTCCTCGGGTGCTTTTTAACAAAAGTGGATAACAAAAAAAACCACACTCGCCCAGAAAACCACAATTTACCCCAGTAAAAATATTTAGTACATACCACAACCACATATTTTAAAGACAGTAGCTATATATTTTTGTGTAAAAAAAAAATGAAACGACTAAATCGATACCCGCGCTTGACGAGACGGCACAAATCTTAATAGCTGCTCTCTTGCTAGTGAGACTGAGTAATCGGCTGCAAATATAATTAAATCGGGGTGTCGTATATTAGCTAAAACTGTAAGGGGTCACAGGTGTTAATGGGGTGCGGCATTCAGTGCGTATATCTCGGGTACTACGGGGAGTACCCGGCTAAAAAAAAGTACCTTTCTCTGCACAGGCCTGATCCGTGGCTTTTGGGGCCCAACAGGTTCAACGAATATTCTAACCTCGTCCACTCGCCACTGCACAAGCTTAAATACATACATACTAACTACTTAGGCCTCGGTTCGAGAGGGGGGGGGAAGAGGGCGAACTTCTAACATAAACTAACGGGAGACTTTGGGCGTATATCAAGACAGTTTAAGTGGAAATCGTTTTAAACGTCTACGAATTACTGTTAATGTCGTTTTCGGTACAGTTCATGCTTTTTAATTACAAATCGCATAAAGATATGTACATAAAAAATTAACATGATCGTGTAGTTCTCGCAAATAATTTTTTATTCATATTTTGTTGTTCTCTCCGTGTGTTATTCACAAATTATGTTCTAAGTTCTGTTTATTGAAAGATAAGTTCAATAAAAATACAGGTATATACAAATATGAAAAAGAATATAGAGTAAGAAACTGTTGTCATTATTTTTATAATTAGAATCATAGTTTACGTTATTTCCAATTGTACTTTTTTAAATTTATGGGTTGATTCTGGTTCTCTGTAAATTTACAATTCTGTAAGCCAAGATTACCCTGCGAGCCGCATAAATGACAAATTATGCAATTCTGGAACCTATAACGATCCTAGTTGCGAAGGTACAAATGAACTACTGCAACTTCTCTTCACCCGTAACCACCGTAACCGTAAGAGAAGATTACCCTGTGAGTCGCATAAATTTTATGCAATTCTGGAACCTATAACGATCCTAGTTGCGAAGGTACAAATGAACTACTGCAACTTCTCTTCACCCGTAACCACCGTAACCGTAAGAGTTAGAAACCTGCAGTTTTCACAGTTTCTAGTCATCTGTGAGCAAAAAGTGTACGTTATCTAGACTCGGAAATACCGAGACCTACATTATTTATTTACAGTCTTAGGTGGAACTCCCCGTATATTTTCCTAGTAGTTGTAAATGAGTAGTTCAGAAGAGACTGCTTTTAACAAGCGTTTATATTAAAATCTGTCTCAGATCGCGGGTTTCACTTTTTAAATAAATAAATTTATTGAAGCTATATTGTTTTTTCCTAACCTCACAAAAAGATCCTGTGGCGTTCCAATGACCTTAGGCTCAGTCGATTTCGTAAGGGTTTCCGTAAGCTACATGTAATGCAGAATTGCAAATTCTCTGTAGGCTTATAGAAAATTACAGACGTTTCGATCAATTTGATATCATTTAATGTTATTATTATTTTTTTTACAATATATTATTTTCGTGTACGAAAATCCCGTACAAATATTTATATTTATTACTTTATCATTCCGATACCATAAACATAAGTCTGCAATTGCCATATTATCAGTCGTATATGTTACACGCCCCCAGAAATAACAGAGAAAAAGTAAATAACGACGATATCTTTCGAAGTTCTCCACATATTACAAAACAAACATATTTCTAAACGGAGATTAAGACTCGTTAAAGTATACCAATTCGAAAAAACGCAAAATATAATCTTATTTGTTTAAGATTGGCTTTATCTAACGTACATCACGTATAAACACACAAGATACCCGCAAGGAGAAATATCGATGACAAACAAGTAATTAACTTTCGATTTACAAACTGTCTTGATACTGTTAAATTTTCACCTGAAAAAAATGCGACATTACCACAAATAAGTAAAATCAGTACACCTCTTTCAACGACAGTTAATTTTAGAAGCTGCGAATACGTTCTTCTCCGATTTTAAAGTAAGCACACTGCGTTCGGACAAAGGGGGTAAAAAATACAAAAAAAAAAAAAAATCGTCCACTCACCCAGCCGTGATCGGCTGCCTGTTGATGTCCACGTTGTCGGGCGCGGAATAAGCGTTGGACGCGTAATACTCCTTCACGGCGTGCGGCGTTATGATGAGTTCGTTACTAATGTGCGACGGAGCTGAAATTCAATCACATATTATTACTGTTCGACTATTTGCTGCGACTTTTACCCATCGAGTTTCTGTTGTGCTCGCTCTTCTCGTCGCTGGTGACGTCGAGTCGCATGGAATCGTCGCCGAGGGACTTCATATCGTCGACTGTCATGTAGTTGTACTGGTGCTTGTCGCCCAACAGTGGATCGTCACCTGAACAAGAAGAGGAAAGTTATGGACGGCTCTGCGCTGGATCGGCACCAATTAAAACGAAATTACATAAACGAGTGATAAAACACTCGAACGTATTGATGCTATCTAGATAAGAAGTAACGTATACAATATTGATAAGAAGTTATAATTAACATAAATAGATATGTGTCGCTTCGAAGTATTAAATTACGTCGGCAGTAAAATTAGTAATCGGGGATTACGTAAGATCTGCAATCTTTTTTTTTTTTTGAGAAGCTCTCGGTCAGTCGCAAAGGGCTCTGGAAGTACGGCAGACTTTCAAAATATATCCCATAATAAAAAAAACTCACTGTAAATGTCGATATTACGATAATAAAATTAACACCCTGTATATTTGCAAAATAGAAATATATTTATTGTAATTAGTAGCAAGAAAATTCTATAAGATTGTTTATAAAGAGTGTACGATTCCACAAGGAAAACAAGTGCAAATAATTATCTTAAAAGAATTTTTAGGAAATTGCGTGCTTAAGATTTTTTTTTATCAAGAAATATGGGAATTAAAGAAATAATAATGTAATAAAGAGTAATGTAATTGAATTTGTACTAAAATTAATCAATCTTTTTTCTATTTCCAAATAAATCTACAAATTGTATCTTAGAGTTTTTGGGATCGCTGATTACGATGAGCGGCTCGGTTAGACTCCATCATGTCAAGTTCAAAGTCATTTGAAGGTCAAACGGTCAAAAAGCCCTAAAAAAATCTGAAAAAATGCATGGACATGTTTTTGAGGTCGCTGAATCCGAATCCAGTGTTTATTTTTACTTTGTATCCTTCCTCGTGGTCATTCAAGATCATTTGAGGGGTTTTTGAGACAAAAATGCCAAGTACCATCCGAAAAATCTGAAAAACTTCATAGGTATGTTTTCAAGGACTCTGAATCTGAGGTCAGTCGACCTCATTTCAATGTCATTTGAAGGTCAAATGGTCAAAAAACCTTCAAAAAATCTGAAAAAATTCATGTTTTTACCGAATCCGGTAAAAATAAAAAATAAAATGTCCATGAATATTTTCAGATTCAGAAGGTTTTTTTGACCATTTGACCTTTATATGACCTTGAAATGAGGTCGACTGACCTCAGATTTAGATTCAGGGTCCTCGAAAACATACGTATGAAATTTTTCAATTTTTCGGATTTGGTTCAAAAACCCCTCAAATGACCTTGAGATCACCTTGAATGACCTCGAGGATGCATGCAAAAAAACAATAAACACTGGATCCGGACTCAACGATCTCATTTTTTTTCAGATTTTTTGTCCGTTTGACCTTCAAATGACCTTGAACTTGACATGATGGAGCCTAACCGACCCACTGATCGTAATCAGCGACCCCAAAAACCGTAGGATACCATCTTCGATTCCCGTGCACAAGCCTAGATAAAATGTTGACCTGTGTAATCGATAATACAGGGTGGTGATTTTATTTATTAAACTTTAGGAAGTAGATTATTAAAAAATACCGTAAAATGTCCATCATCGAACTTTTACGGGACGTTTTTGACGGCTATTAAACGTATTTTCAAATTTTCTGTTCTCTCAGTGTAGTAGAGAAAAAAGGTGGTGTGTGCTTTAAAAAAACCAACAAAAAAAAGTCATTGACAAAATACAAAATCTCTTTTCATTTAAAGTGGGCGTTTTTATGCGTAATTTTCAGTGAATTCACATCAGCCTTTCGACGAAGGTTTTAGAAAATCTAAGCAAGCTGTACAAATCCCTTTGGGCGATAATAGGCGTGCAATGCCCAACAAATACGAAGTTATCGATTAAAGAAGTCTTTCTAAAAGTGCCATTTCTCGTCTATAAAACGCCCGCCTTAAATGTTGGTAAAAACGACAGAACCGTCCTGTATAAAAAGAGAAACACTGGGATAACATTCGTTTCATTTAACGTACGCTTAAATCAAGTACACGTTAAATGAAATAAAAATGGTCGAAGCGGCTTTAAACCGTGCAGTTATCTCTAAGTGATCACCACGGGGTTAGGACATAAGCTAAAAGAAGCTAACTACTACGACGGGTGTTAGTTGAGGAGGAACAGACAGTGGGACTTACGTGTGTAGGTCATGTGTCCCTGGTAGAAGGGTAGATAGACGTGCTGAGCATGCGTCGGTCGACCATAAGCCACGGGAGGCTCGTCCACTCCGCCTGCATGCAACCAACCACCACCCTTAGCGGACACACGCTCATGGTTTTCTTAATAAATCTATCCCATACCCACCCCATCGCTTTGCTCAACCGGACGCGTACCGTTTTTACGTGCGCAATTAATTTCCGGAATCGTAAAAAAATATACTCTGTTCCTTTTCGCGTATGCTGAAGTTGTCAATTTGAGAAGAAGCGTGATTAAAGTAGGCGGAAAGTACCGGGTGAATCATGTTTAAGTGTAGTCCAGGTAATTTTCCAGGAAACTCAAATTTTTTTGCATTTTCTTCGTAGAGAAATAAATAAAAAAAACATTTTTTACGACATAAATTATTAATAACACTTTTTCCTTTGTACGCGACAACAAATCTTAAAATCGGAAAAAAAATTTCTGACTTTTTTATTTAAATTTGACCATTCTTCATTGAATTCTGTCTCCGACTCGACAGTATTTTATACACAAAAAACCATTTTAAAATTAAAGATAGCCGAGCCAGATCTGAAGACGCTGCCTTTTTATTATTTTTTTTTAAGTTTGTAATTAATGTAGCAAATTATTACATGCACAAACATGCGTTTGTACTTTTTAGACTTATTTGAAATGAGAATCTTGATGTAAAAAGACAAGGTAGAGAAAAGGTTGTCAAACGCCATTCTTAGTCAAACCGTTATAAATAACGAAAGTTATTAACGGAAAAAAAATTAAAAGCAAATTTTCTTCAACGCTGAATTTCAAATATTCCCTCTGAAAGTTAAAATTTTTAATACTTCTACCATTTTATACCTTTTTTTTTTTGAAGATTTTCAGATTTTACTAACGCGGAACAACTTCAGAGCATATTTCTTTACATGGAACACGTAAAAAAAAGAACAAACCAGAGTTAAAACTAAATTTTAGACTACCTACCAGCTTTAATGTTATATACTGTTAAATAAATTGGTTAATTAATCTACCACATGGCAAATCAACATTAAAAAAAAATGCACATGGGAAATGCAAAACAAAACGGCTATGCAGAAACGAGAAATGTTCCGGTAAAATTAGAACGGGAAAAAAATTAAATGTACGAGAGTCGATGAATCCAAATCCGGTGTTCGTTTGACAAAGTTAGCCCAGGAAGATTATCTAAATGTAAAACTTCTCGCTGAAACAGAATCCGAGGACCAAAAGTTGTATTCCCATCAAAAAACAAGGGTTGACCTTCAAATAACCTTCAACACAAACTTAAGATGACCTTGAAAAATAAATCAACCATGTGCCAGAACGTAAAATTTCTTGTCCTTTCATAATCCAAAGACAAAACTTGTATACCATCAAAAAACAAGAGTTGACCTTTAAATAACCTTCAACATAAACTTATGATGACCTTAAAAAATAAATCAGCAATATTGTACGTAAAATTGCTCCCTATTTCAGATTTCAAGGAGAAAAATTGACCTGACCTTCAAATAACCTTGAACACGACCTTAAAAAATAAATCAATCACGTATTTGAACATAAAATTTCTTGCTCTTTCAGAACCCGGGAACAAAACTTGTATACCATCAAAAAACAAGAGTTGACCTTTAAATAACATTGAATATGACCTTGAAATAAATCAACATCATATCTGTACGCAAAATTGCTCCCTTTTTCA